CGTTAGTGCTCTACTCAATATTAATAATATCGATATAATTAATAACGCTAAATAGGCGGTGGTAACACCTAACCTATACCTCGGTTAAGAATACGCAGAGGAACCATAGTAGTATAGCTAGTACTATTTTTAATTATATTAAATAGCCGGTAAATTAATAAATTAAGGTTTTTATTTAACTAAGTAACTATTTGTTCCGTTTGATCTCTTATTTATATATATAACTTCTTTATAATTTTAATATATTATAAATAAATAATTTATAAAGCGTAACTAATATACTTCTGCTATTTTATAGATTTCGTAAATAAAATAGTTTTTTTTAATAAGGGGCATTTATTACGATTTCTCGTAAATGTTAGGGAGATTTCACCGTGATTTCTCTACTACTATAGTGAAAGACTTTATAATAAAACCTGCAAGAATTCACTAGGAATTCTCGGTAAAAGGTTACTAGATATTATAGAGATTTCCCTAGGATTTCCCCGTAAAATCTCAAGGTATTTCTTAGAGATTTTACTGCGGAGGTATAGTAAAATCTTAAAAAGGACATCTCAATATTATTACTATTTTACCGCATATAAAGCGTAACACTTTATGTACGGTAAAATAATAATAATATTAAAATGTCCTCTCTAAGATTTCACTATACCTTTACGGTAAAATCTCCAAGAAATACCTTGAGAATTCACAAGGAAACCTCAGGAAAATCTCCATAATATCTAGTAGCCTTTCGCCGCAAATTCCTAGTGAATTCTCGCAGGATTCACTATAAGGTCTTTTACTATAGTACCAGAGAAATCACGGTAGAATCTCCCTAACATCTATAAGAAATCGCAACACAAATATATAAATAACTTATATATAGTCTTTTATCCTAAAATAAAATTAGACTTTAAATTTAATATTAATTCTTTATATTACTATTTAATTATAATAATTAAAAATATTACTTAATATTAGGCTCGTTTATTAAGATTCTTTTTTTTTTCCCTTCTTATACATAATTAATCTAATTTTCATTTATATTATTAGGGGGTTTTCCTTTTTTTTTTTTTTTAATAAAGTAATATCTAGTCCTGACCCAAGCGCCCTAGGTACAAGCTAGGCCTAGATTCCGATCTCTAAATTAACCGACATACACATCCATCCTTTCTAACTAATGTATAAGCTCCTTAAAGCTATTAATAAACAGTTAGCGGTACTTTAAATACCGGCCTAGTTACGAGCCGACCCTTCCGCCGGTCCTTATATATTAGTACGGCCTACTAGGTTATCTATATATAGGCGCGACCCCAAATAAGATAGATCCTATTACACAAAAGAATTCCAGGCAACGAGGCAGCTAATAGAGTAGCTAAGAAACGACTAGGTTAGGAGAAAATAACTAGATTAGCCCTAGAGTAGATTCGCCTTCGGAGCTACGACCTCTCAGGTCGATATTAAAAACATAGACTAATAAGACAGTACCTTAGAGCTAGAAAACTAAATAGGTAGCGGAAATTAGAGGAAGAGTGATCTTTCGCTATATACCGAGGCCTATAAAAAAGGTACTTTAACTTTACGAAGACCTACCTAAACGATAAAACTCTATACTTACCTAACTTCGAATAGAGAAGATCGGCCTCTAGGATTTCTTATTTAATTAATATGTTCTGGATATTATAGACCCGCGATGTGTCTGCGGTAAGGGACGCCAAACTATAATACACGTCCTGCTGCGCTATAGGAAATTCCGGATCCTTCGACGGTAGGTCCTCGGTCCAGTTTTAAGAAGCCTCCGGAAGATTTTAAGCGAGCGCAAAATAGCCGCTAAGGCCATCCAAATTATAGGAATAGACGCAGATCCTAGAGCAGTTTAGGATCGAGACCTAACCAGACAAAGTCTAGCACTGGGAGGAGACTGTAGGTATCTTGGGTACAGACACGAGGTAATTGCTTCACGAGAGCTTAGTATAGATGTACATTAGTATTATAACCGCTGTCTACGATAGGTGGCAGCTAACTGTAAAGGGAGGATTAAGAGGAAAAAGCGGGAAAACCGGGGACAGCTGGTCGTGTTTGTTAATATGGCGAAGTGTGGCATCGTGAATTATCTTCGGCGCTTTAACTGTTCGCCAGACCCCGTTGACCGGCACACCGGGCATGGCTGCGGGAATATCGCGGCTAAAACCGAGTAGGAATACAGTTCAGTTCAGTATCCCATCGATTACGGAGAGGCGACAATACATATGAAAGCGGAGTACTGACGTCATGCCGCGACAGATGGGATAACAACCCCAACAGACAACTCTGAACCCTTTTTCCTACAGCGCACGCATCTATTCGACGTACAAGTTACTTTTCGCGACACTCGCAGCCCTCTTGATCGAGGACTCTGCGAACCTTTCTTCAGTCGACCCACCTCCCTACGACTTTTCTCCTCTAGATCGAGCTGTGCTTGATCTAGATCATTCTTTACCGCAACCATGGCTACTGACAAGGGACTCGAAGACGCCGCTGAGAGTGAGTTTCAAATCCCTGTTTTGTGGCGGGCGTGGTGGTTCGCTTCGCTCGTGTACAGACGTTGCAGTTTTGGCTTGCTCTGGCCTGCAAAACTTTGTACTTTATTCAGCATGGACAAGGTCTTAGGCTAACACGCTGTGAAACAGGTCAAATCGGGTCCAACTATGACGAGACGGTCGAGTCCTTTGATGACATGAGCCTCGCGTCTGAGCTGCTCCGTGGTGGTAAGTTTGCGGCGCGGCCACACAGTTGATCTGCGCTCCTTACTGATATCTGGCCAGTGTATGCTTATGGCTTCGAGCGTCCCTCGACTATTCAGCAACGTGCCATCATGCCCATCATCAAGGGCCACGACATCGTTGCCCAGGCTCATCCTGGTACTGGCAAGACAGCTGCTTTCTCTATTTCGGTTCTCCAAAAGATCAACCCAGCGGTTAAGCAGTGCCAGGCGCTCATCTTGGCCCCGACTCGCGAGTTTGCTCAACAGATTCAAAAGGTCGTTGTCGCTATTGGCGACTTTATGAATGTGAAGTGCCACGCCTGTTTTGGTGGAAATAGTGTACATGATAACATAATGGCCTTGGAGGATGGCCCTCAGGTCGTTGTCGGAACGCCTGGCCGCATTCACGATATGATCCAGCGTCGCATCCTTAAGACTAATGCTATAAATATGTTCATTCTCGATGAGGCCGACGAGATGCTTTCGGTAAATTTCTATTTAAATGTCTCTTGACGTCTCTTAGTCGCTAATATCTGACTCTTAGCGCGGTTTTACTGAACAAATCTACAATATCTTCCAGCTCCTGCCTCAGTCGACCCAGGTTATTCTTCTATCTGCCACTATGCCCCAGGACGTTCTTGAGGTCACCACTAAGTTCATGCATGACCCTATCCGCATCCTGGTCAAGCAAGACCCCCCCGAGGGTATTAAGCAGTTCTGCATTATGGTCGAGAAGGAGGAGTGGAAGCTCAACACTCTTTTCGATCTATATAATAGTATCACTACTTCCCAGACAATCATCTTTTGCAACACCCGCAAAAAGCTCGAATGGCTGACGGAAAATCTAAAGTCCCGCAACCATCCCTTCTCCGCTATGCACGGGGATATGACTGCCATTCAACGTGCTACGATTATGAAAGAATTTCGTTCTGGTTCTACTCGTTTCTTAATTGCCACTGATCTACTCGCTCGTGGCATAGATATCCAGCAAATTCCCCTGGTCATCAACTACGATCTTCCTGCCAACCATGAAAATTATATACATCGCGTCGGTCGTGGCGGATATCTCGGATGGAAAGGCATCGCTATCAACTTTGTCACCCCTAATGATACCTACCTGATAAGAAAGATCGAGCATTTTTACGCTACTGATATTGATGAGATAACTACTGATGATGTCAAGCCGCATCTCCTAGCGCCTGAGGCTTAAAGTGTAAGGGAAAGAAAAAACTTAAAATGGATAGAAGGAGCAGCGACAAGATCAGTAGGAACACATATCATAATATCAACTGTAGCTTCATATCTTCAAGTGCTATAAAGTTTAGGGAAAGTACTTAGCTATTGAAGAGAGACTGCGAAGCTATGCAGTCATGCTTATAGTTCTTATGGAAGTAGAGTAGGTGCCTGTCTTCTAGCTGATGTGGAATATACATTAAGTCGTGCTTGTGTTATGTTGCGCTTCCTCGGGCCCTGGCAAAGTTCGCGTTATTCTCCTGACCTAATGCTGTGTGTGTCACGAACGGAGGCAAACACGAAAGAGAACACCAATGTCATTGGCGTGGTGCCGGCCAGCTGCCTCGACTTGGACACAAGGGCTGGATTTGGGCATCACAGTACTGTCAGCGCTTTCGAGATCCTGGACGGTGAGGATCGCGAGATTCAGTAGCTGCTTGGTAGGAATGCCGTCGACGAAGCGAATAGGGGATTTGAGGTCGTGTGGAATACACTTGACATCAGTCGAGATACTGGCGCGACTCGGCTGTCTATCGCTATAGCCTTCCTGAAGATCATTACTTACTCATCCCTTCTTGAATCCCTGGGCCTCTGGCAAATTTGCATTGCTTCCAACAGCATTAACGCACCACTCCAAGTATATTTTGAACTCCCGTCTGATAAACTGTCTATTTCTGTGCCGTCTCTTCCCGACGGACCTTTTCGGCACGCTGAAATACCCCTCAATTGAATAGAAGCCCGGGGAGTAAGGTGGCAATGGTTCCACTGCAACGCCTGCATCTTTACGCCATTTTACTATCTTAGACGGGAAGTGCCGAGATGCATTGTCAATAACCAGGACTGACTTGGGCTCTGGATACCTGCTATAGTGTTGCTGTAGTTGCTCGATGAACATGACGAACAATTGGGCGGCATGCCATCCTCGCCTTGTGCTTTGTTGCCCTGATCGCCCTAGATCACAACTCTAGCCAGGCAAATGCCCAATACCTCCAAAACTTAGACCGAATCCGTCTCATAAACTCTGTGACCCAAAAACAGTACGATGGTTACAGATAGTGAGTTCATCCCCAGATTCCCTTTCTCTGCCCCCTGTTTGGCAGGATCCCTAGCATCGACAGCATGCTCACAATCTCTTAGCAAGGCCGTCCCTGACAACCAGCTTGCTTGGCGTAATCATCGAATTGGAAACCGACATTTTCTATTTCTACTACAACTGCAACTATATGAACAATATCTGCGACAACGTCAATATCTTCCTGAACTCCTCCCGCGGCAATGTCGAGATGGAAGACCTTATCTTCACCACAAAAGGCCCGACAGCTGGCACCGTACTCATTGAATAGAACATAGCCGCAGACACAAAAAGGTCGGTGGCCCTCTGGGACTGCCACGTCCGGGTTGGCGGTGCGACGGGCACCGATCTGACGCCCACTGAGTGTCCGGCTGTGACATCTGGCACCGCCCCGGGCTGCAATGCCGCTAGTCTGATGATGAACATTCAGCCAGGCGTATTGGGATACCTCGAGAATGTGGCTGTGGATAGCTGACCATATCATTGATGACTCAGGCCTGGAAGACGCCAATGACACCATGGTACACAACTCGGTCTACGTTGCTCGCGGCCTGCTTGTCGAGAGCACTGGGCCCACATGGCTCTATGGCACGTCGTCGGAGCACGCAGTAATGTACCAATACAACTTTCACAATGCCGCGAGCGTCTTCGCCGCCATAATCCAGACAGAGTCGCCTTACTACCAGCTGACGCCCAACCCGCCTGCTCCCTTCGCCAGCTCCTTCGGCCTCTTTCCCGGCGATCCAGACTACTCCTGTGCCGCGAGCGATGAGTTCAGCGGTTGCGATGAGTCGTGGGCCGTCGTGATGCGCAGCTACGAGGAGATCGTCATTGCTTGCGCTAGCTTGTACTCGTGGAGGTTTTCGACCTACTCCCAAGACTGTATCGGTGGGCAGCTATGCCAGAAAGCACTAGTTCTTCTCAAGGGGAACCGTGCTAGCGTGAGATAGGAGCATCTTGTTACCATCGGCGCCAAGTACATGGCTGTTATGGACGGAAAGGGCATTGCGGCTAAGGATAACCTCAACGTTGATGCACATCCTTTCTGGTCCCAGGTATCGCTCCTTGACGTCACCAGCGACGGCGAGCAGTACAATGACGTCCTCTGCCTTGACCCGTCCACTTGGGATATGGAACAGCCTAAGTTTTCTTGTGAGCCGCCGTGACGAGTCAGGATTCCACCACATACAGGCGCGCCTACTGCCGCCAATCACCCGCTCATGACTGTTAGCCAGGACGCGTGGACGAGTACTATAACAGTATGGCCCATAACGCTGTTCAAATCGGGCTCCGAGGTGATGACCATCGGCGGCTCCAACGTGAAGAGGGACGTTGGCGGCCTGAACCGCCGAGCCTTTGAGCACTTTTGGCCCGCTCCCACTACGACTGCCGCTTGACCCGTCGTCGTTTACAACGGCCCGGATGACAGGAAATCAACGACGAGCCTTAAGGCCCCCTTCCCGACGCAGCCTCCGTCCATCGAGCCCGGCTCGCCATCGCCGCAAAGCGGCGCGTGGCCGGCAAAGGCTTTGTGGCCGCGCATGGCTGCCGCCGTGAATCCCAAAAAGGAGCTGAACGATAGGCTCAAGAACTGGATGTGCCGTCAGGCGGCCGAGTCGCCGAGCTACTACGATATGGACATGCTGGACTGCCCGGGCACGGGCGGGAACAACAACGACTCGGGCGGCCAGATGCAAGTGGGCGACGGCACTGGCTGGGGTGGCTCCAAGATATCTTGAACAACGGTACCATGAGCCTGCCGGGTTTTTATTCCTTGGGGTTCAGTATTGAGTGAGCTCGGGCGCATGTGCGAACTGCCGCAGGAGTCAAATACCACCGCCACCACGGCGCAGACAACGCAGCCTTCATAGTCCACGACGAAGCCGCTGAAGCAGGCCGATACCGAACAGAACCATGTGAGTTGCTACAGCGAGGGGCGCAAGATGAGCATCATCCGGCTGCAGAGTTGCATCAATTCATTCTGCAAGAATATTGGCTTCGACGTTGGCGTCCAGGCACGCGACTTCGAAGGCAGGGCTTCCGGACAGCTCCCGGGCGGCTACAAGAAGGGAATCCATGAAGCCCTTTTCGGGCCAGGAGGAGATCAGCTTCAGCTTCGAGGTGCTTGATGGCTGCTAGTGGACGTTTAACATGGACGAGTGACGCCCGTCGATAGGTATAATTGCGGCGAGGAGAATGGTAAGCAGGGCGGGTATGGGAATAATAATTGCCTTAGGTAGAAGACTGATCCAAATGGCTCGGCGTACTAGTGGTGTGGGGAGCAGGGCGTGTGGAGGAACGACGGCCTCAGAATCCGAATATTTCTTTGTATTTTCTTGTATTTGTTCTTTTCGTTCTAGACACGTAAATATCATAGTCTTCATATCTGATTCTCTGAGAACGTTACAGCTGTTTACTTCTTGTATATCATGTTGAGAGAAAACGAGAGCAGTTCAGATGCTTACCTTGTGATATGAAAAGGGAATGAGGGCTACCCAAGAGCCAACCCATGAGGAGCCACGATGTTGAGGTTTGGCTTCATATCTCAAGAGACAGGCGAGCCCGAGCGAGAAGTTAGAGAGGCCCTCTCTCACACACACTTCCTCACACTCACCCTCTTCCACCGTGACACTTGATAGAGGTTATTAACATCAATCATGTGAAGCAAGATTCATCGTAATGGATAGGGAAATTGAGACACTTGAAGCTTTGCCTAACATAAATCGACGCAAGGTGGCGAAAATACCCCCAACAAGTGTACAACCTCACAGTTGAACCACGAACATAACGTTGCGAAGGCAATATCTTATGGTTGGCAACCTCATCCATGTCTTGCGTTACTTAATACACAGAGCCGCATGGCATGGCATGCATACAACTCGGCTCACACATACACGCTGGTGGCTACCATAGCCAGCCTCGAGGCTCAAGTCCCCTTCTACCGCACCAGCAGGCACCTTCAAGACATGACCAGCGTAAGAGAAACTTGTCTATCGCATCCGGAATCATTGCTAAAGGTTCCCCCTTCCTACCCCTAGCGCCGTCCCCCATCCATTAATGAATCAGTAAAATCAAGTTTCCCGCGATGTATCTAAACCAGTGGTTGGATTTGTAATTGCGGGTCGGCACGTCGGCACAACAGGCAGCAAAAGTTGGATAACACAACAAGTAGACTTAGCGTTGTTACATGCCATCAAAGTCGCCGCCGAGGTCATCCTCGTCTAGATCTCCCTCCTGGATCTCCTTGGCCATCTCACGCTCGCGTTCGCGCGCCTCCTGAGCATTCTTCAACTCCAAGCGGTGTTGGTTCATGGGGAATCGCATGGCCTAGGACGCGGTACTGTTAGAGTGTGTCTTGACATGGAAACATCTGGAAAACTAACCTTGACGCTCTCATCGTGGAGAGCCAAGCATGCGCGGATTCTGTCATGGAAGGCTTCACCGGGCTCCCGCGTAGCGTAGACATCGCCTACCTCCTTGCTCTTCATGTATCCGTGCTCGCGGTCCAGGGTAGCTTCAATGACACCATCACGGATAGCCTTTGCGACAATGTACTCAGCCGACTCTTCACTACCGAGGTCGAGGCGGATGCAGATGTCGCGCAGGGAAATGCGAGAGTATGACAGAGACATCATGCGGATGCCGGTCTTGATGACGTTCTGGCGCAGGCGGAGAATCAGGCTGTAGGTGCCGTCGCGGCGGAAGGTGTCGGCGTGATCCGCAATGATGGTCTCGAAGTTCTGAACCTTGCCAACCCGGACGGCCTGGACAAGGAGGAAGTACGGGTGCAGGGAGAGCTCCAAAGTGGGCTGGCGGAAGGTAGATCTCTCGGGAATGTCGCCCATCAACAATTCAACCACCAACAGAAGCTTGGTCGCCGTCTGCGAGAAGCCCACCGCACAGGCGCTTGAAGGGGCCTTTCTTGTCGCAGCCGTAAGGTGCTCGTGTGCCTCGGTGTATCTCAGCTGAATGGCGCGGATGCGGCCAAGGTAGTACAGGAAGCGTGCAACCTGGTTGTTAGCTGCGTTCTCGGGGAACTGGGTGTGGGATACGAGCAAGTCGGCCTGCGCAATATGAGACGTCATCAGGTAGCTGCGAAGCAAAAGCACAATGACCGAGGCTTGCGTGTCAATGTCCTTTCGGAGTACGGCAGTCCGGAGGGCAGCCAGGAGGGTGGGTCGAATAGCGACGACCGGAGACTGGGGAGAAGGAGGCTGAGGAGAGAGGCTTTCGCAGAACATTGAGTAGTAGAAGTAGACCTTGGCGGAAAGGGAGTCTAATGTGCGGCGGTTGAGCGTGTGGATACGGTCAGTCAGCTGCTTGGAGAACTCGGCTCCGTGCTGGAACTGCTTGGTGTCGTAGAGGTGGACCTGGATCAGAATGCCGAGGAAGATATCAATCTCGGGAATGATCTCCTTCACCTCCTTCTTCTGACCATTCTTCGTCTTGGCAGGCTCGCTGTCTACCTCCATCTCCGGACCGCTGGAGCGGCCGAGGGGCACATTCTCGCGGCCGATGGCGATCAGGAGTTGCTTGGCAGCGTTACCAGAGGAAACGGTCGCGGGGAAGCTCTCGGCAATGGCCTGGGCGATGATGTCGGGTGTCAGGCGCTTGCGGATGGTCGAAATCGACCGCAGGGCTCGGAGGGAGAATCTGGCATCGAAGAGCGCGACTGCGCGGTCCAGCAGAGCGAAATTGCTCTTGATGTCTATACCGGCAACATCAGTCAGCTTCCTGGATTGCTCGCGGGTCATTGAGAGAGTCCGAATTAATCAAACATCACATACCTGCTACAGCCTGCACCACGGGGTCAACCTTGACCTCTGCGTCATCTGCCCCAGCCTCATCACCCATCGCAACATCGCCGTCAGCATCCGCCGGGGGAGCAGCGGCCTTCTTGGATGGGGGAACAACAACAGTCATCTCCTCATCGCCGTCCTTTGCTCCCTTCTTGCCCTTGCTCTTGGAGTCGGCGTCCTTGTTGTTCTTACGGATCCCGTTCTCGAGGGGATCCTTCCCGTTGCGTGAAGGTGTTTTGCCCGGCATTTTTGCTCAACCGAATGTGCGTGGACGTGCTGTAGGGAGTGTGTCGAGTGCTGCTGGGGATGGCAGCAGTCGGATATAATCGTGGAGTCGCGCCCGGGGAGGAGAGTGCGGGCGGGTTGTTTTGCTTAGATATGGCGTCCCGTCAGGTGCTTCGTCTGAAAGCAAGGTATTGAGGGAGAGAAAGTCAGGTGACACAAGTTGAGAAAGCGTCAGGACGAGTGGGAGTCGAGATCGGAGCTCTGTGGGAGTCGGCTTTCGTTGATGGGAATGGGTGGCTGCTGTTTGGCCGTTTGCCTCGTGATGCAGGAAGGTTCGATGGACGAGAGCTCAAAGATTGAATACCTGAGGCTTAGGTTGCTGCTTCCAGGCCCTGGGGGGGACGACACAGACCGGGCAAGCACCTCACCCACCACACTAGCCGGAGATGGGTAGTGGGTACAAGGATATGGACCCGATGCCCGATAGAAATAGCCATCTTCGCGGAGGCTCAGCTATCGTGGCTTGTACCCTCTACCTGATGTTGCTTAGCGAGTGAGATTGCCGGGCCTGCTAGAAGCGTGGAGCAACCCCCCAACACTGAACGAGGCAAAGGCCACCAGGTCCGAAGCGGGAGTGACGTTGTCGATGCTGCCTGCCTCAGCTGCGTCGTCGCGGTGCCTTTTTTTGTGCCACAGTTATGCACGCCTGAGCTAGAATTATGTAATTATTCAGGGTCCGTCATCTAACAAACCGAAGCTCCCAATCCCGCCATTGAAGCTACACCTGAGCTAGTATCTCGCACATCCTCCTTAATTTGTGTAGCCAAAATCCCTACCATTTCCTCCGGACATGTAGCACACTCTGCCTTCATCAGAGTCTCAATACCGCTTGCATGTTTGAGGACTTTGCTCGGCTGAATGCAGACTGTTGTCTTATCGGGGCCGGAGGCGCCTCTGCACCACCTGGCCCCAGCTGCGCTACCTTGAATGTGAGGACCTTGCTGAGCTACCGTGCCTACCTACGCTACCTTGTGGCATAATATCACCGCAAAACTGAGCACTATTAATGAACTTGTAGTTTCAATTTGGGTATACCATAACTATGAAAGCCATGATGGATGATCACCACAGCGCGAGATATTGCAAATCAACTAGCAATACCGCCGTCCTAAACGCCTTTTTCGTGCCTCCCAAACCATACCGTTATGCCTATGAAAACCATCCATTTGCCATCGTCTAACCAGCCTTACTCCTGAGAGAAGTCTACTTCTTTGCTGGGAGGACGTTAACCTCCATATGTGTCGCCATGGACAAGTCCGCCTGCTGATTATCACCACCAACCGAGAACTGCCTGAGGGGAGGGCCAGTAGCCTGGGTCGAAGCAGTTCCCGAAGTTGAGGCCTTCTTAGCCGGAGATGCAGTTTTGCGAGACCTCGCCCTGGATAAGGTGGTCTTGGACGGCGATGTCGCACGCGCCCTGCCATCTTCTTGATTGAACCGAACGCTCTTCGCCGTGCTTCTCTTAGCAGTGCCTCGCTTTCCAGCGGTAGCTGGCCGCGGTTTCTCGACGGGCTCGTACTACTCGCCCTTACCCGAGGTGACCTTGGCCGCTTGGATGGCGCTCATCTTGGTGATCCAGGCAGTCGAGGGCTGGATCTTACGCACGGTGCGAAGCTCATCAGAGGAGTAACCAGGGACGCGGATGTTGTAAGTGCGTTCCAGGACGAGCTGAATGTCGCGAATCTCAAGGACCTTTGAGCCTCGCTCTTTGGCGTTACGGCAAGCCGTCTCCAGAACGTTGTCGACAAAGCTGTCTGCCATGGCCAGGACACTCTGCAATGGAATCAGTACACGTTTGTCATCATCGGGTAGTTAGTAATCTAGCCAACGTACCTCTTCAACTTCGGGAGTCAACATGTTGATCTCCTGGCCCTCGGCATTTCCGCCGCAGACCTGTCGCACAAGCTCGTCCAATTTCTTCTTGCTAAGAACGTGATCGCCCTCGGCCTCATGAACGTATGCGGGGATCTTTGAGATCGCGGGCTGGCCCATGACACCTCCAGCTATGCCACCACCACCCGTATAGGTAGGACGTCCAGCGCCAGCACCGCCCGCCATCGCAACGGGTTGAGGCACAGAAGTGGCCTTTTCCGGGAGCTGCTTAGGAATTGGAAGTTTAGACTGCAAGGTCTGAGTTGGCTGTGTCGGATGCGCGTGTTGTTGTTGCGGAACTGCTCCAGATCCCATGACACCCTGAGCGTGTGCGCCGGCTGAGCCAGGAGTACCCGTGGCTTGCTGAACAGGAACTGACGTCTGCACGTTGCGTTGGTTTGCGCGGGATACGGCGGCCGAATGACTGAGAGCCTGACCAGGGCCGGCAGGAGCGGCAGACTGGGGAGTCGCGACGCGCTGAGTGGGTGTGCCTGCCGAGGGGAGTCCCCCACCTGCAGAGACCGATGCGATGGCAGTGTTTACGGGAGGAGGGTGATGTTGGCCTTGATTCATGGTTTGCTGCGGTGCAGAAGCCATGGGCTGTTGAGCTTGGGGTGCTTGGGACGTAGTCGGTGTCGCGGCAGAGGAAGCCGCAGCCTGAGCCGCAGCCTGAGCCTGCTGTTGTTGAATTTGTTGCTGTCGGAGCTGCTGCTGTTGTTGCTGCAATTGCTGTTGCTGTTGCTGTTGTGCTTGTTGCTGATGTTGTTGAGGCAGCTGTTGTTGCTGCTGAGGGGGGGTGCCTTGACCTGCGGCGGCTGCGGCGGTCATTTGCTGGTTCTTAGCTGCCTCGATCGCGGCATTCACTGCTGTGGTGGGGTTCTGAGCATTTTGTGTGGCCGGTGTGCCTTGGGCAGTCGGTGCTGGGCTTGCTTGAGCACCACCAGGCTGCGTCGAGGGAGGTTGTGATGCCGCGACGGCTGGGCTGTTTTGCTGCTGCTGCTGCTGCTGAGAAGGCGGTCGTTGTTGTGCAGCCGCCGCGCTCGCACTTGCTGCAGTCTGCCCCGCCGCGGCAGCTGCTGCCACTGCCGCCCTCGCCTTGTTGATACCTTCCTGAGATTTTCTAAAATTCTGGACAAAGGTCTGGGCCTCGGTGTGCATCTTTTGAGCATGATCTCTCCTGATTTGAAGCTGCTTTGCTTCGTCTGTACCCAGCGCACCCTTTTCTTGCTGATTCTTGACGTGCGCATCGATCCGCCTTATCTGGATTCCCTGCTGATCCATCTGCATTAGAGCCCTCAGGTATTTGGCCTTGAAGTCATTAGACCATCGGGCAGCCGCCTCCTGGCCTTTATCCAGGATCCCCTGAGGCGGGTTGAAGGTCATCTGTCGGATATGGGCCAGAATGTGATCCGGAAACTGCGTCGCCTGCGGCGCCTGCTGTGGTGCCGTGGGGGTTGGCGCCGCCGCCGCTGGAGCAGGCGCGGGCGTGGGAGCATGCGCAGGCTCTGCCGCCGTCGTCGTCGTGGTGTTCTCGGTCTTTGGTTCGGTCTTGATGGTAACGCCTCCGACGTTCGCCTGGCTGGCAGCGGCGGCCGGTGCTTGTTGCTGAGCCGGCTGGGCTTGTTGCGTGGGCGCCGCTGGCTGCGCAGGCTGACTCTGTTGCTGCTGAGCCTGTTGACCACCCTGTTGCTGCTGCTGGGCGGCTTGCTGTTGTGCCTGCTGTTGTTGCTGGACCTGCATGCGGCGTTGCTGGAGTTTGTTAAGCAGCATTTTAGTGAAGTCCTGGATCTTTTTCTTGGCATCTTGGTGTTGAGCGGACTCCTCAGGGTGCGTCTCGTAGTGATTCCATAGCTGGCGCAACCCTCTCTCGTACTTCTGCTTCTCTTCGTCGTTCAGGATGGGAAGGTTTCGCATCATCTCGGGTCGATACATGGGTGGCTGTCGTGCACTCGGCACGGTTTGACCGGCGGCGGCCTGACCAGGCTGGCCTTGATTGTTCATCGTCGCGGTTCTTACGGATATCGAAGTCGACGGCAAGATGGAAACGATTTCGACGGGATTCGAGGCTTTGGATTGCGACTGGAGGGATGTTCAAACGATTCTACTGATGTTCTACGCCCTGTTATGACAGTGGATGTGTAGACTTAACGAGCGTTGGCCTTTCTGATGGATGGCTAAGAAGTGTAGTTGCGTCGAAGCACGCGTAGCTGGAAAGTTCCGTGTGGGGCTCTGGGGAGAGCACTGATTGGATGTCGCATTTGACGCGCTCTGGTTTTGGAGCTCAAGCCTCCAGCAGGTGCCAACCTGCCAGGTGCCTCTACCAATACCAGCTACCTCATGGCAAACAATGTCGACCTTGTGAGCTTCCAACAGGATTTTCTGTTTAGCTTGACTGAAAGTTGGAGAATATCATCAAGGTCTCTAAGAAGATATTGCTAGGGTATCAATAATTTTAATGCACATATGATGTTTAAAATCTCTCCAAGCAGATGACCCAGGCACGAATAGAGTCACTTGTAGGTGCGCGGCTAGTTGAGAAGAGACTAATATGTGCCTATCAACGGAGGTGATTTCTCGTTTTAGGTAGAGAACTCCTTGAATAACCCCCCGTTTGCCTGATGAACTCACCCAACCCGGTTTCAAGTCTTGAGAAGCCACAATGAGCAAAAGCCTCCCTGCCTTGGGCACGCCAACGAAAGTCATTTTGCTGGTGAGAGATTGATCTTACAAATTTGAGCACGTTAGCACCACCACAGACCTCATCAGTCTCCATTCGGCGGAAACCGTAGCCCCCGTCAGCTCTTCTGGATCCCGTAAGACACCACGTCAACTGCAGAATCGCAGAGCCTCAATTCGCAAGTCAAAAGTTCCTTGTCCTTCCACAAAAAGCAGGCTTCTCGAACAGACATGGGGCCCTCACACACCAGCCCCAGCCCACCACCGATGGGCTACACGTGGAGTTATTCTCAGGCCGGTCTTCCTGCGGGAAAGGCCCGTCGGACCTGCAGATGAAAGGGGGCCTTTGGGGCGTTGGGCTGCCCACTCTGGTGCGAACTCCCAAATGCACACTTGCGCAAGTTGACGATGCAGTGCATAGACGAGAGGGTGGGAGGAAGGGGGGTCATGCCCTAACCAGGAAGGAAGGACGACGATGACTTTTTGATGCGTCTGTAAGAATCCGCGGAACTCCTTGAGTTGCAGGATCAAGAATCAAAATGGATCTTGGGAACCTTTGGCCGTATCATCTTACAGATCAACAAGGCGTTTAATTCCACGTTTCTCGGTACTTACAGAGCTCGCGTAGCACGTCAACGAAGAGGGGGGGAAAACGGTGTTTATCGGCGTTACGAACAAATAATACTGTGTAATCGGTCCTGGCCGCCTAGAGGGATCTTCTCCACCAGCAAGGAATGGAAGAAAGGCTAAGAAGAGGGTCCGTCAGCGTTGGGCTGCAGGGAGCGAGGGCAGTCTATCCGTACGGATAGATAGTACGGAGTACCCACCCATGCATCCCAGTCGAATGTTCAGTGGTTCGAACAAGGCGTCCCGAGATGGATGGTGATACTATTCCCAATGGTATGGACTACCTAAAGTACCCTCACCAGCTAATAGCACCCCAAGAGCTGGGTACATGTACCGTTTTGGACGGGATTGGAGTGACACAGCGTCGAGGCCCGACGCAAAGTTGCCGTTTCATGCACTCGGCCGTGTTGGCTTCCAGCTGCCTTCTAGAATTGCACCGCAAGCAATTTGTGAGTCGCGACTGCCAGTTGCGGCACCTTCCCACTTCCTACCCGTGCTACCTTCCCACCCTGCGACATGTGCATTATTGTGTTACCATGGAATTGGAAGGAGACGGAAGGAAGCAGGAAGGCACTGATGACTGTGATGGTCGCTCCTTCCTCCCGTCAATTTTCGTTTTTCTGGTCCTTTCGCTCGTGGTCCACGGGCGGCGGGCGGGTGGGCGTGTGCATTCTGACCGCCTTCTTTTCTTCCTCTCCACAAATCTGACCCGGCCACGAGCATGATGCATCCTGCCCCTCGTCACATTCACCCCTCCAATACACCTCACAGAGCTCAGACTACCTACGGACACACAATCACTGATTCCTCCCAGCCATTCAGTCTCGCCACTCTTTCTTCCCTCTCCAGTAGCGACCTTGAGGCTTGGGCTCTTTGCTGCAGCTTCACGGTGACTCTAGCTAGGGAAGGAGAACTTGTCCTTGGGCCGTTCTGCAAAGACTGCAGAAACCTGCAAGCCTTTGGAAACGCCCTTGAGTATTCCAAGCAATCTCGACCCTCGATAATTGGGCACAAGTGTTGCCAGCTAGCCTACCCTTTTCTCATTCTTTACAAACTTCTAATTGTTCCCAGCAGTCTCTCAGACACTTTCCTCGCCTATCACGTCTTGTTCTCTCTTGAGCGGATACCTATAGCAAGAGCCTGCTGATGCTCGATACCCTGCCGCCGTCTCCAGCGAGAGAGGCAAGTAGCCTTACCGGTCATCCGTCAACCAGTCTCTAAGAGACACGAGCAGCAGCGTCTCAATAAGGGACGGCATCATGCCCTGTGGTCCGTGGATGTTGACGCAACAATGTCAGGTTGCTTGGGCTCCCAAGTAGCAGACATTTGCCCTCTCACGGCTCCAGGCTTACACCACAGGCTGTACGTTGAACCAAGTGTCCGGCTTCCTAAGGACCAGACACTACGGCAAGCACGATATTCAGTCTAGGCCCAGACGAGAGGCCCGCCGAAGCAACAAGTACCTAGGTACGCAGCAGGCTCGTGGGGGAGAGGCTTGTCAGTCCGAACAGGGCTCCGACTAAGGAAAAAAGAGCCCGACCAAGAATCGCCAATAGTCGGCGATCTGGCGTCTATCCACAACCACACCCCTCCATTACCCCTCCTTCGCATCACGCCCTCACGACTCCCGCGCAGTGGACGTCCTCTTTCGCTTGATACCGTTCATAACCCCCAATACAGCCCATTCCAGCCGAGCAGCCAGTCAAGCCATGGCGGCCCCGGTCCAGTCAGCCCGTACGCCGCTGCGGTATCCGCAAACGCGCGAGCACACACACATGCAATTCTCTCGACGCCGCTGCGGGACACACGGTTAGACCGGGGGGCAGTCCTGGAGCATTGCTGCCCAAAGTCCAACTTTGCGCCCCGCGAGAATGCGCAAAAGAGGAACCGCACCCAATCCCAACCGCCGGCTGGACAAGACTTTCACTTCTGATAGGAAGACCTCCACGAGGGTCACAGTATCCAGCAGCGGCAGCATGGGGTCTCTCGCAGGAGGACTCGCGCCAGCAATCAAATTACACCGCAGTAAAGCAGCTGGCCGGCACCCACACGTCTCTAGCAGCACCAGTTGCAACTTGCAGCAAGTAGGCGAGAAGAGGCTCTCTCTCTCTCTCTCTCTCTCTCTCTCTCTCTCTCTCTCTCTCTCTCTCTCTCTCTCTCTACCTTACCTTAGGTGACCAAGGGATGGAGTTACCTTGCTGCATGGAATGGCATGGGCATGGGCATGCCGCAGAGCTGCGGCGCACATGTGCAATGACTTCTTTTAATTCTTAATTCTCTCTCCATCCCGCGCACTACTAGAAAATCTTTTCTTTTCGCTTTCCCCCTCTCTTCTTTTCTCTTCTCGTTGTTGACTTGCGTCTACCTCTCGCTCGACCATCAACCGTCTGGCCATCATCTCACGTTCGATTCCCATCCCCTCTGCTAGTTAGCGCAAAGGGTCGATCGGTGGGAAGTCAAGCATTTCTCAGCCATACCTATAGGACCGGACTGTCTAGCCGTGCCAACGACCCGCTGTCGGCCTATCACGGGAGTCGTCTAGTACACAATTTATACGGTTGATTCAAGCAGCACCGGCAGCTCGGAAATCCACAATTCAGAATTCAGCGAGAAATCATACAATGGGCAGTCCGTCTCTTTGGCTTGCCATTCCACTTGAGACCTCAACGCATCACAACAAATCCAGCCAGACTCAGTTTCGGGTTCAGACTCGGAATCGCTGGCAGCGGCAATCTCTTGTTGTCGTCCCTCCGCTGTTCTTTTCTACGGTATTCATCCCACTCACCTCTTGTCCGACAAATTCCTGAGCCTCTCTTTTTGACCCAGGTCCCCCACGCTTGTCTTCGATTTCTCCAAATCTCTTCCGTCCAATACATTCCCCTACCGCAGTAGACCGGCAGCCGAAGTCACCTCACTGGTGCTATTCCTGCTCGCGTGCGCATTGCACCACCGCCTTTTTCTTCTCAGTCAGCCATTTCGTGCTGCAACCCGCAGCGCCCCTCAACAAGTCAGTCCCTGGTCACCCTGGACAAAGCCCGTGGTCCTATCGTCACCGCCCGCCCGATTTTCGTCGTCCCCACACCCGGGATCCCGCACATCTCACGGTGTCTCCCCCGAAACATTCCTCTCCACTGTCTCTCTTGTCAGTGACGGGCCACCGCCAGTGACACCCAGCTGCTTGGAAACCCCCGATTTCGCGTTCGAAAGAGACGGGGACGTTGGGGACTTTTCGTCTCTTGCCAGTGACCTGAACTCTGCTTCCATTCCTAGAAGGGACCCTGGTTTGTGTTGCTCCTTGAGTGCATTCAAACTGGTCCGCTTCCTCCCGCACGCGCTTTGCTCAATCTCAAGCATTTCCCGCCAGATCTATCATGACAACCTACAGCTTCAGCCGAATATCCTCTTCTCCTTGTCGGAGGTTCTTACTTTGGGTGTTGACGCCTTGACTTCTGCTACTTTGCTTGATATACCACCTTCATCGGAACCAATCACACAACCAAGCCTATCTACTGGCTGTCGCTCGTTGGAGCTGATCTGATCTCATTTGCCCGCTCAACTTCATCTTCCCCGCAAAATCGAGGGAGAAGGAAGAAAAAAATCGAGTCCTGCAACAAAGACACGATCGATAGATCACCACCACACAAACAAGGCTAGAGCCCCAGATCAACAAATCGGCCGCTGGGGCGTATAAGAGAGGCAGCACCTCAATTGCCATATCGCAGGCGCCATTGAGAATGCCTCGCAAGTCGCGGCCGGCGACGCCCAGCATGATGCTGGGCCCTCTTGGAGGTCCAAACTCACCGCCTCAGACCCCTACCTCCACCATGCCTATGGCGAACCGCAAGTTCGCTGCACGACACTTGCCGCAATGGCATCACCAAATCATACTGGATGACTCCAGCATTCAGCCTACAGGCAATGGCCACGAATTCAGCTTCACGCCTAATCGTTTCGCTCACTTGTCGCCCCGCACCTCTTCCGAAGACTCCTCTGAGTCTGATGAAGAGGAGGAATCCGAGTCCGAACCCGAGTCTGAACAACGCCAGGTACTTCAAGCAAGACCTAAGGCCAACCGCGAGGATGGCGACGACGAAGATGAGGACAGCGATGACGAAGACGAAGAAGAAGATTCAGACGACGAAGAATCGGAAGACTCAGACGACGATACGCCTATGCGCTTTGCTCCTCCGGCCCCGGCTCCAATGCCGGCCCCGATGCCAGCATCCATATCGGCTTCCATGTTCGCTCCAAGGCCTGCGCCTATGCCAGCCTCTCGTATGGCTGTCGATAGCAGTTCTGAAGAGGAATCAGATGAGGAGGAAGATGAAGATGAAGACGAAGACGATGAGTCCGACTCAGACTCGGAATCAGAGTCTTTGGCTACGCCTCCCATCCAAGAGATTCGCCAAGAAACTCATCTTGTCACCGCTACTACCACCTCAACAGTCAAAGCGAATTTCACGCTGGAAGAACTTTCGGACTTTGACCCAATGGACCAAGACCGCAGCGGCACCATTGCCCCCTCAGGCTTCTCCTCCCCAGCATCTGCTCGCTCTCGATCACGGGCACCACCACCCAGAGGGCTCCCTCCCGGCTTCACGCAGGAGATGAGAAATCTTGGTTTTGATGAAACCAGCTCTGAAGGTTCGGATAACGACTTGGATGCCGATGAGGCCCACCGCGAGTTTGTGCGCATGCAACGGGAGCTGAAGATGCGCAAGCGGCGGTCCCACGGATCTAGTATTGGCAAGCGCACCATATCGGAGCGTAGCGACTCTGACCACGAAGATATGACACCCCTCGACGCAGACGATGTCGGCTCTAGCGCCCGCAGACTCCGACGACGCTACGGGGACAGCCACAGGCACAGCTTTATCCTATTCCAAGACCCACCTCCGCCTCGTATCGACGAAGTCGATGAGCCCGAGAGTGAGGTTGAAGGCACTTTTATCTTTTGCGACAGCGGCACGCTGGCGCGAGAGCTTCCCTACTATTCCATCGAGATTATGGAGTACGAGAGTCCTAGCTCTAGTCCTAGCCCATGAGCGGGACAGATTTGCCTGTCGATTCCAAGGCAGTCATTATACGTTTTACAACAACCACGGATATCAACCATAACGATATATAGCGTCCGGCCCCGTCTCCCTCGCTGCAGCACGAGGCCTTAAATAGACGCACACTGACGTTTCACGACGAGCATACACGGATGATGGCATAGATTGATGACGATGACGGATTGATGACCAGAATCTTGTTCTTTCCATTTCTTCTACGAAGCCTCTTATATTATTGGGATATGTCAATGTTCTGTCTTGATTGATAGCTCTTGTGAGATTCATATTTATCCAAGAGGCAGCACCTGGCACAGTACAGAGCAGCATGAGTGACGGATGATTTTGTTTTTTTGTTTTTTTTCTTTCCTATGATAGATTCGGTTTCCATAGAAGAGCCTCATAGCTCTAATGAAATGTTTACTTGCGCCATCACCATACTAGCTGTCTCCCTCGGTTAACATGCGAATATTCTTCTGAGCCATATTCACATGTCAATTACCAGACTGCAGTGCGAACTCTGACCCGTGGCAATAAGCTCGCGGGCTTTGACGGCAGTACACCACCACCTGTCACAAAGTCACGAGCCGCACCTAGCCAACGCCCGTCGAAGGGAGGCGTTTCTTCCGGGCGGGGGAGGCAAACTTTTCATTTTCAATGGCGGATTTTGCGCCCCCAACGCCCTTATCACCTGCCTATGTGCTACCTTTGGCGGTGTACCTAGTTGATCATGGCGATGGCATCGGGAGCGATGGGTGATGACGTGCAGCGGATCAGCGGGATGGAAGAGACGGATGATAGACAGAGGCTACTCGGACTTGCGTGCTTGCCGAACTTGGGCTGGGCCAGTACTACCTACTTACTTTTGATGGCGCGGATGCTTGAGAGGGGGGGTGGATTTGGGGGATCACTAGGTAGGTACTTCCACGGGGGGTGGAACGGCGAGAATCATACGGCAATGGACGAGCGAAGGTGAGCAACATGTTCGGGAGGCGACATGACTTGCCTCTTATTTTTCGGTGACCAGCGAGGTTCTCATTGGATTGGTTTTGATGTCTACCTTGTGAGAGTGAGGTGAGATACGGAGTACGGCAGGATCAGGGTACTGTTTTTTTTCTTCCCTCGTCATTAGATTCGGGGAGCGCCCATAGAAGTGGGGGGGGCCGAGTCCAGTCCCGGGTGATTTTGAAGCGGGGGCCGATTCGCCGGCCGATTTGCGAGGCGGCGGGGAGTGGGTTGCACGTGTTTTTTTCTGCAGTCCTCCGTTGTGTCTTTTGCTTAGAATGATTCGAGATGTGGCTTACTGTTCGCTGAAGACTGGATTGAGTGTTGAAAATAATCCAATGAGGAAAGAATCGAAATTGTGGGATGATGACTTCTAAGAGGGAAGGAAGGAACGTGGGCAAGTGCGAGGTTGAGCCAAAAAGCTTCGTAGGACCAGAAGCGCAACTGTCCCTTCAAGGAAGTATCGCCCGTCGTCGACGCGGGATGACGGCTGAATGGTAAATATGTGCCTTTTAACACACCTAATATGGTGTTTCGGTGGGCAGACTTCAGTGGTGAGCAACTCGAACCTACCGGTCGTAGCCGGCAGCTTGTCTTTTTGTGGCATTTTTTAGTGCTGGGGATTTTGGTGACGAGGAGATGCATTTCTCGGGGATAGGTACCTACCTCACTGAGGTACCTCACCTACCTATAGACTGACTACCTTACCTGAGTGGACCTCGAGATTGAGAGGTCGTGAGTTGGAGTCAACTTGCTGTTCGATCTCTTTTTTCACATTTCATTCTTCCACATTTGCTTGAGTCAATTTGGGGGGTTCTCATCACCTTTAGGTAAGGTATTGTGTCGCTGTGTACGATGGAGTTTGAGGTGAGATGGGCTCACGGCGCTACGCTGCGCAGAGGACGGGGGGAAAGCATCCGGCCGGGTTCTGGGGCCGGAAGGGAGGGGCGGGGAAGGGGGACCGTGGGAAACGGCGGTCAGTGAGTGGCTGTGTGGGTCAGGTCTTTTTTTATTGTCTTTTTTTGGCCTATCCTTTACATAAGTACGCTCTCAAGGCACTTTCGGAACTAGATGTCGTCGGGGTAAGGTGGTCTAGGCCGTTGCTGCTGGCACGTGGGGATTGAAGTGGGTAGTCCTGGGAAGCTGTCTCTGGGAGAATACCGAGACTGACTACTTGTAAGTTGCTGGTGCCTTTAGCTGGGTGATTGAAGTAGGGAAGGTAGCTATTCATAGGTGACTGAAGATGATGCAGGACTTTCTTGACATCTAAATGTGAATGTTGACCTATGTACGGATAAGTTATACTCTAATCTACCTACATGTTTGGTCCCAAGGTATAAACGCCGATATAAATCCCTCTCCCAAGTGGTATCTCCCTCGATTCATGTGTCCTTTTGCCCTTCCTCATATACTCTCTTATACCCTACTAGCCCATCGCAAAGTGCCTAATCCCATCGAATCCAAACACGAACTCACGAAATCAACCTCCTCCACCCAGAAGAAGCCCTCTTCGTTTTCCCACCGTCTCTACTAATCGGAGCCGCCGCTTGCGACCCCACCGCCGCTTGAGCAGCAGCAGCCTGCCCCCGATTCTGCCGCCCCGTCGCCCCCTCATACCACCCGAGAGCCGCGTCCAGCGGCTCAAACGGGTCCCACGGCCGGTTGACGGGCTCGATGAGCACGTCCACCATGAGATACTTGCTCGCGTTCGCAATCACCGTCTCCACGTCGACGCGCACCCGGAACCGCTCCAACTCGACGTCGACGCCCGCCGGGATCGGGCGGAACATGTTTTGCAAGTCGTCAAAGGAAAAGGTCGCTTCCGGCGGTTCTCTTTGGTTCTCCTTTGCGTTTGAGGGGTTTTTGTTTGTCTGCTTCTGGGTTTCGCTCTGGTCCTTCATGCCCGGGAACCGAGGCGGTAGCTCGCGGGCGTGGAACCCGGCTCGGATACCGTCCGTGGACCCGAACATGATGAGCAGCCGGGACCCGTCCGTTCGCGCAAATGTGACGGCCCCGGCAAGCTGGCCCGCTGCCTTCGGGTTACGGAAAGCAATCGTCTTCCCCGTCGCCGTGTGGATCAAGTCCCTCCCAAAACCCCTGCTCGACGTACACGCCGCCGGCCGGTCCCCTCGGTCAGCCTCCTTGGAGTGCACGAGATTCAGCACGGAGTACTGGTCCCGCGGCGGACCCTTTCGGAGCTGGATAATGTGCTGCGGGAACACACCCTCCGCGTCGGCGACGCCGTTGAACGTTTGCCGCACGTAGAGCGTCTGCCTGTTGCCTCGCTCCTGGACCTTGGCGAATTGGTTCACCTGCACGCGCGCGAATTGCTGGTCCCCGCCGCTCGAAATCTTTTTGAGGTAGATTGCTAAAAACGTAGAATCCTCGTAGTCTGGCGGCGCGGGACAGTCCAGCGCCGCGACGAAGATGTCCTCGCCGCGGAGCGTCAGGGGTAGGTCGATGCGCAGGCCGCGGTTGCTCATGAAGTACGGCGGTCGCGGCTCCCAGTCCTGGTAGGGCATGATGGAGTTGGAGTAGGCGAAGTTGGCGGGTGATTTGGCGAGGAGGCTGTGGTAGGTCTCGGTTGAAGCCGATAGATCAACCCAGGCGAAGAGGGACTGGTCGTCGGACTGCTTCATGATTTCCTCTTGGAGGCGGAGGAAGGCGCGCTCGCCTTCGCCGTAGAGCATGGGCATGTTGACGCCGAAGAGGCCCATTAGGCAGTAGGCCACATCTTCGGGTCTCGTTGTTTGCCGGTGCGCGGCCCAGGACATGCGCTTGGCGAGGCTTGCTGATTCGAGGGGTTTGAGGCCCGTGAGGATGTCTTCGTCTATGCCTGTGATGACGGATAGAGGCCTGCTGAGCGTCGTCTTCTCCCCGACTTTGACCCAGTCCTCGGAGAAGAAGACCATTTCGGCCGGGGCGAGGAGTTCCTGCAGCGTCCAACCGCGCGTGAACCATCGGCACGAGGCGAACGCGCCGTCCGTCTTGACTGGATCCACGGTGGAGGGGACGCCCGAAAGGTAGGTGTAGCAGACTTCCGACTTCATGTACCACTCGTACATGGAGTTGATGGCCTCGGAGAGTTCCGCGCTGCTGCTCTTGTCGATGCAGCACGAGTCGATCCAGACATGATCGAGGCCGTCTGCCAGGGTCTGGATGCAGCTGTAGCGGACTTTTTGGAAGGCGGGCTTGGTGGCGGCATTTTGGTCTCTGATGTCGGCGTAGATGACTTCGTTGTTCCCCCAGGTGTGTGAGAGGATTGCGTAGCGGGGAAGTTGATCGGGGTTGAAGTCGACGAGTTGAAGGTTGCCGCTGTGTATGGATGAAGCTTTGATTAAGCGCATCTTGACGCTGCGTTGATAACTCGCTGATGGGATTCTGAATGGTAGTCCATCTGGGGGGTCTCTTCAAAGAGGCAGAAGGGGTTGAGCAAGACTACATCAACATTTTTGATCGTGGACTGTCAATCGCATTGTTGGTATGATTCCGAATCGTTGAATCGATGATGCAGATGAAGTTTGAAGGAGCGGCACTGCATAAAAAAGTGGCCGTGTCGGCAAAGTCATTCGTGAAGTCGAAGTAAAGCTGGGCTATCTGATCGTCATGTCTGCTCCCCCCTGTTCTATTATTATGGGACGTGATCGATTGGTGTAACATCGGATATTGCTTCGCCATAGAAACTGCATTAGGCAGGCGAGACCACCTTATCATCTGGTCATCCAAAGCGTGTGGGTGTAAGATTCCTGGGGTGTCTCTCAGCTTTGCCCCGGCACAACCCTCACATTTCACACACGAGGCGCAATCGCCCTGGTTGTAGGGCTGCGCCGCCCACACCAACTTCGCAGAGCCTTGGGGGGAAGACCCGGGAGAGACATTGCGCCCCCTGCCGAGCAAGTCTATTCCCATAAGCACCAATGGCGATCGCTGTCGATGTTACGGTTCTGCCTGATTGTGGATTCCTGCGATGCTGTGCCGCTGTTAGTGCCAACTTGGAGGACGCACGCGTGCCCGGAGGCAATTTTACGGTTCTTACCTGAAGGCAGAGTTTAACATGTATTAAAAAGTGACCATATGTTCGTCATCTCAAAAGTCTGTATGTTATCCATTTCTCGCGTTCTCTTTCTTTCATACTGACCAAGCTTTCCTCACCTGTTCCTCAATCTAATCCATTAGTGGTGACTTCCAAGCCGCAATATTGTGATACCCAACGATCCATCATTTTTCGCCACGATTCGAATCACAGAAGCAATGATGTCGGACCAAAAGACTGCTCCACCTCCGGCGATCGATGTCCAAGAGCCGGCGCCAGCCTACGAGAGAGAATCTCCAATTGCGTCCACTGTGCAGGGAAGCGGCCCTGCTCCCGCCAGAGAGATGCCGGCGGACTTGATACAGTTCGAGTGAGTCTCCTAAATAGCACCCTCATGGTTTTATGATCTTTGCTGACGACTCTCGCAGACAACCTGCAACACCAATGGCCGCTCATCAAAAGGGCGGTCCAACAATCACTCCCCTCGCGAACCCAGCGACGGTCACGCCGCTGCACATGCTAGGTGACGAGCCGCAATGGATCGACTGCCCCTTTTGCAAGCAGCGGACGCAGACGGTCATTGCCAAAGAGGGAACCGCCATGCAAATGTAAGTTTACTGATGATTTCGTGATATTCACTTCCAAATCCACCGGCTAACACGCGGGTTTTCAGGGTTGCCGGTGCTCTTTGCTGTCTCCTCTGCGTCTGCCTGACATGCGTGCCCTGTATCGCGGGGTGGTGCGAGGACATGCACTACACCTGCTCAAACTGCAAGAACAAGGTCGCTACGAGGCCGTATGACGGGACGATTCAAGTCTTTTCGCCGCAGCTTGGAGGTGGTGTCGTGCCGTCGCAGTATGCGCCGGTTGCACCACCTGTCGCGGAAAAGCAACAGACTCCGAGTGCTTGAGGTTGATTTTCAAGGTGAGGAGAGGCCTCAAGTGATGTGAACCTTTGGAATGCTGCTCGATCAACAGGATCATAGGTGAGCAAAACACGGACTCGGTGTGAGGGATGGTGAAGAGGAGTTGATATGTGGTCTATTGATTTTGGGGGATAACTAGAGTGGAATTTGGAAATGAAGGAGGGCCATGTTGGTGATAATTATACATAATACAACCCGGTAGATACCCTAGCTAAACAACTGTACCGTCCTAAATCATCTGTGGCCCACTTCAGCATAAAGACTTCTTTTTATTCTAAACTATTAGTATTACAAAGACCAATTTGCCGGGTTGGCCGCTAATTTGAGTGTGAGTCTTTGCGAAGATCAGCGGTGGCTCTGGGCCAAGTTGAAGCAGATGTAGGACAACCACCGATTAAGCGTCCATCGTATGCGACTATTCATAGTACCATAAAAATGCTGAAAACTTTGGGTTATTGGAAGAGGTCAACCGCGGGCAAGATCTGATCTTTTTGATGAGGGAGGCCCATGACACTTGGTCTACACCAACACCCCATGGAATAGAAAGTATAAAGAGTCAAGTGGAAACAATTGTCAAGCAAGGTCTGTGATCGTACCGCGCGCGAATAGATGAGCCAACCTTTAGCCATGACTGCCAAAAGTGCCGGCGTTGAACCAGAGGGCTACTCCGGAGGGTGTTTCCGGGTAGCTCCGGACGGACGGATCGCCGTCCGTCTTCCGGCCGTGTCCGTCATGGACTCAAGGTCCATCATTTTCTGCCACTCGACAACACGGACGAACTCAATTTATCCCCCGGATTTTGTACGATCCTAGCGCGCTCTTAAGTCCGGTGCTATGGGGTACTCGGCGCAACGACAACACTCTTCCATAATCCCGACAGAGACGGACATCAACGATGTGAACCGCCGATGGTCGCGGCCCCGGTACAATTCCCAGGCCGAGCCAGCAGGTGCCTCCAGGCGTAGTCTGAGTACCAGTACTGAGCTACCAAATATAAAACCTCATCGCCCTTCGAGAGGCTGTTAATACTGAAGTGGGCCAAGTTCTCAACATCACCGAAATCAACAACTTACAAGAAATGTCTCGCTCAATCTACCTCGGTGCCGATGGCCAACTCACCATCAAGCAAGTCACGGAAGACTACACACCCCAAAAGCTTCAAGCCCTTGTGTCGATCAAATACTCGGGCATCAACCCCTGCGATCTCAACTTCTTTCACGTAGGCCTTAACTCCTTCGTCACCGGCTTCGAGTTCGCCGGCATCGTCGAAGCAGTCGGACCTGAATCTACCTTACAGATTGGTGACGCTGTTCTCGGCATCTCGCCCGTCGGTTTCCCCCAAAACTCCTCGGCATGTACGCACCAAGACAAGACCATCGTCGAGAGCACTCTCACTTTCAAGCTGCCGCCCGGCCTCGACCTCAAAGACGCCGGGGGGCTAGCCCTCACGACGCAGACTGCCGCCGACGCCATCTTCAACGTTCTCGGCTTCGCCTTTCCCGCCGCGGGCATCGCCGGGACTGACGGGACCGACAAACCGATACTGGTTTGGGGCGGCGCCAGCAGTGTCGGCATCGCGGCCATCCAGCTTGCCAAGGCGGCGGGTTTCAATCACATCTTCGCGACCGCGTCCGCCAAGAACCACGCTGCGCTACAAAAGCTCGGGGCCACACATTGCTTCGACTACAAGAGCCCTACCGTCACCAGCGATATCCGTGCCGCCGCAAAGGACCTTGGTGTGAGCCTTACTACGGGCTTTGATACCGTCGGTAGCGGCCTTCATGGCCCAAATGCTGACGCCGAGACGTCTACGCCGGCGCTTCTCCGTAGAAGCCTGTCTGAAGGTGCTGGTGAGGAATCCATCAAGCTTGTGTGTACGCAGCCCGTGGCCCATGATCCTGCTTTCGGCTTCTGTACGTCCTATCGGCCTGTTGGTAGCGTTGGTGCCATGGGACACCCTCAAGACCCTGAATTCCCGATTCGCTTGCGTACGGTTATGGAACATGCTCTGAGCTCTACTGAAAGAGCTCCAAAGCACCCGAATGTCACTGTTGCTAAGGGCGGCGAAGCCGGCTTGCGGGAGATTCAGCGGGTGGCCTACGGTGGTGCTTCGTTGGAGAAGGTTGTGATTGAGCATCCAATCTAGATGGGCTGAGGGTTTATGATGCGAAGGGCAAATGCGACTCTCAAGCAAGGGTTAGAGTAGCAGAATCGAAAGGTTGGATGCTTCGAATTAGTGTTTCTTAATACATACTATGCAGAGTAGGTCTTGAAGCTCATGTTACACATCATCTTAGAACAGCCATGCGAACCCCTTGCGATAGACCTTTGCAAACGCGCTCTTCTTCCCCATTGCCACCTCCTTTTCCCTTCTTTCCGCTTCGACCGCCGCTCTCTCCTCAGCAACGGTCTCTTCTGGTACGCCTGTGACCAAATCCGCTGTTTCGGCCCGTACGCGATGAGACTTCTTGAAGATTTTGTACCCAAAGATGCAAATCAGGTAGACGGGGATTCCAATGTACTGAACGATAAAGTTCTTGTAGTCAAAAGTGCCTACGAACACTTCGATGCCCTTGGTCAAGGTCAGGATGATGAGAAAGCCGAGAGCAATGTAAGAGCCCCATGCGCCTAGGGGAGCGCGGTAGGGGATATACGCGGCGTCAATCCGTTGGGCTGTGCGGGCGCGACAGAAGAAGATGTGTGACACAAGGATGGATATCCATGTAAGTAGACCTATGGTACGTGTAAGTCTTGACTTTCGTGCGTCAAACATCAAGTGTGGACTCACCAAAGACCGTGACGATATTCGTCAGATAGCCAAAGACGGTTGCTGCACCGGAGCTAACAGACATATACGCCAAACAGCAGAAGACACCACACAAACCCAGCGCCACAAAAGGCACTCCGGATTTAGTCGTCTTGGAAAATATTCGAGGGGCTTTGCCGTCGACGGCGATACCGTACAGCGTGCGAGACGAGATGTAAATGTCCGAGTTGGCAGCCGAGAAGACGAACACCACGAGACAACCGTTGATGACGTGATCGAGCCCCTTAATCTTGGCAATGGTGATGGCCACCACAAACGGCGAGGCCGCAGCACTGGTCTTGGCCTTGGCTGCGAAGACGAGCTCGGCGCTGTTGTAGGGGACAACCATGCCCAGCAGAAAGACGGAGATGACGTAGAAGAAGACGATGCGCATAAAGGTCAGGCGGACAGCCTTTGGCATACTCAGGCGCGGGTTCTTGGCCTCGCCGACTGTGACGCCGACGAGTTCCGTGCCGGAGAAGGCGTACACGGCGGCTACCATAGCGCTCCAGACTCCGAGAAGACGACCCTGCGCACCCTCGACCTTGTACTCGGCGAAAGCACCCGGATCGGACCAGTATCTGAAGCCAGGACGGTCGCCGGTGGGACCGCCGCCTACAGCGAGGATGAAGAGCAGCAGGATGACGCCAATCATGATGATTACTTTCAGAGACGAGAGCCAGAACTCGAATTCGCCAAAGGCTTTGACACTGACGCTGTTGATCAGGAGGATCAGGACCAGGGCGATGGTGATGAAGACGGCCGGGTTGACGCGGTCTCCTACCCAGAACTTCATGATCAGGGCAAAGGCCGAGAGCTGGTTGGGTGTGGCGAGGAGGTACTTGAAGAAGTAGGAGTAGCCTGTCGCGAAACCGAGGGCTGGGTCGACGAAGCGGGTTGCGTAGCCGCCGAAGCCGTGGGACAGGGGCATGTAGGAGATGATTTCGCCGAGGGCAGCCATGACGAGGAAGACGATGCAACCGACGATGGAGTAGTCGATGAGGATGCCGGCTGGGCCTGCCTTGACCAGAGCCGAACCACTGTGTTCATCAATGGATTAGGACTAGATTCAAGTATGGTGTTGCCTACTTAGGGGTAGAAAACTTACGTTCCGATCAGTAACCCTGTTCCAAGCGCACCGCCGAGGGCAATCATCGTGACATGGCGCGTTTCGAGACGCTTGTGAAGTTCATGGCCGGGCTGGATGTTTGGATCTTCGACCTGTCCGATCTTTGCACTCTGTTGATGGGACAGACCCTCTAAGCCTGCGGGTTCCATCTTTTCTTGGTCCATAGTTGACTTGTCTGAAATTGAATTGTTCAAGTTGATGCCTCCACTGCTGCGGCAAACGCCAAATTATCGGGTTTTCGTCGACAGAGACTCGACGAGTTAATACGAGCTGACTGACCAGTCCCTGTGTTTCTTCAAAATCTGAACTCCAGGCTGGGACAGTCAATGTCATATTAAAGTCTTCCAAACGAGCACATGACTTGAGCCAACTCCCAAACCAGCCTTTGACACCCCAGTCTTTGTCATTATCTCAAGTCCGTGGGTCCGGGGTAACGATTCGGGAGTGGGTCCCGAGACGGGGAAAACGCGGGGAGAAGGCCCTCGGATTGCCAACCCGCGAGCTGGTATCTGATAGTCAACTGACTCGGACATGTCCCTATCTGGAGACCGAGAATGCTGCGGAGCCTTGTTCGACTTCAGTTGATAAGGGTCTCGCCATTCAAGTACGAGGTCCAGCTAGCTTTTGCGCCTCTTGCAAGGTTTCTCCTGGCGCCTCCGCTATCACTTGCAAATGGGACTACCTGTCGTAGCTGGCTGTTGGTCGTCAATGATCGAACGATTACCACACAGGATGAGATTATCTTTATCTGCGAATCCGGCCCTCTCTGACATGTATCTTTCCTCCTTAAGCTTACTTTGGAAAGTTGTCTTGATTCCTAGAAACCTGATTTCTGGAAGCCCACATCCGAGGATCAGTCTGGCAACCCGTCTTTCAATCACAGTAAGCCCCCACTAAAGTCAAAATCCGGCGCAATCGCCTCCGTCCACAACCAACCCCCCGCGAGTTGATCATCGTCAAAAGCGGCCGTATTTGGCTCCCAGTCGAGCAAGCCCGCTATTGATAGCATTTGCTCAGAAGCGAGCCCGTTTGCTGTACTGCCAGTTGCCGGACCCGCTTCTGTAAGCTGTTCAGTATTAGATGATGGCAGGTCTCCAACGTTGATGCGCCGTGAAGTCTGAACCTCGTTTTGCACGCTGTTACTGCCATCACCAGAAGCTGACGGTGGAGCGTGGAGTTGACGTTGGGCGAGGCGTAGTATCTCTTGGAGCTTCTCGAGTTCTTCTTTTCGAAACCGGGCTACTACATTCCCGCGCGCAATCATGGTGTCGAATATATCAGTTGTGGTTTGCATGTATTTATTGTCTCGTTCGGAAAGGCCAGGCATGGAGGTCATCAAAGTGAGGACAAAGGCCGACGAAAACGCTTGCTCCAAGTCAAAGGGAAGGAAAGACTCTGGCTAGGATGTTAGTCTATTTTATGACCGTTAATAGATGCATCTGCTTACCCAGTAGGTGTTGCGATTGCAATGTTGACAAGATCCGGAGTGATTTATTTGCCGAGTCTGACGATGTCTTCAACAGCGCTTTGATTGGGCTCGCAAGGCCTCTGTTCAGATTTCCCTGCCTTCCTAGAACGTCTTGTACGAGGCACATGAGGAGCGGGCGAGTTGCAAGAACAACACACTTTAAATAATCAGCATGCTGCCAGATGCGGAAGTAGAAACTCACGATTCGCTTACCTGGTGATAACACAAGTTGAGTGTAGCAGATACCCTTGAAGCAGGTTCCGAATTATTGAACTTGAATTCGAACCCAGCCGTAAGCTGCGGAGCCAGCCTTGCCATGTCTCTCAAAACTTCTTGTACGCTCTTCAAAAACGATGGGTCAAGTTTCCCATCCATGCCGTACACAGCTTTGTCACGATTAGAAAATTTCGATGCCGCAGGCTACTGTGAACTCACTGTTCAGAACTTTGGCAAGCAGCTGAGATAACACAACGTGTATGCCCAGTGCCTTGTACTTGTGAACCACTGGGTCGGATCTTGGTAGTTGAACAGTTATGTCGCTATCTTGTATCGAATTGGGGGCTCCCATAAGTGATGTCATCTTCCGATCTAGGATGTAAAGAGTCCACCAGACGCAACGGAGTCTGTTGGCTTCGCTATCGTTGACCAAGCTTTTCAATGGCTCTCGGTGTAGACCCTGAGAAACAGCGATTCGAAATGCTTGGCCGATCTACTAGAATGAGTGAGCGGTACCATGAACGACTGATAGCTGACTATCAACTCACGTAGGTGTAAGCGCTATTCCTGTGGTCTACAGACTGCAGGTATAGAGAAAGACTGCATAGAATCTCCACAGACAGTACAGGCTCTTGATACAATCCATGGACATCAGGAAGCAGCTCGAGAGCCCTCGTCACCAGACTGCTTCCAGGAGGAGTCTGATTTGGGTTTCCAGGAACTAAGAGAGCCTTGCCGAAAGCCATGATCATGAGAAATTGGATATACCACAATCTGGAATCTGCTGTCGGTTCCAGTCTCGGCCCTCTTCTGTAGAAATCGTAAAGCCCAGTCATGAAGCTTTCCTCGTCAAAGAGATGGTATGTTTGCCCAAGATGGAACTTGACTGTGTTTGTAAGATAGAGAGCGTAATCTAGAGACGGAATGTCGACTGTGGCTTGCGGAATAACGTCTCTGGACGATGGCCAGTCCAACTTGAATGCTTCGGCATCAACGTTGAGAGGAACCTCTGGTGATTCATGCTGGCCGAGATGACCTTGGATCATGTTGAGTACCTGTCGACTATATGCCCAAGTTGACGAAGGCCCGAGCCATCCTGTAAACCGATTAGATCGAAAGAAGTAGCGATGGCGTCAAGCAGTCACTCACTTCTTCTACCCGTTGCATCCGTGAGAAACTTTGATGGTCCGCTTGCTAATGGATTCCGCATGTTCGAGAAGCCACGGCGCTCCTCGCGGTCATCTTCACCGCCGATGACAGTCGTGCCGTCGTCAAGATTGAAATTATGTGCCGGCGGCGAGGCTCCGTGATCGATCTCTATCAACAATGGCGCTGGTGTTGCATTAATCACTGTGCAGCAATTGCTATGATGAGTGAGACCGCATCATGTAACGCAATATCAGATCACGACCTACCATCACGAAAACCAGCATCAGCGGGCGACGTCGATCGATGACGTCGAGATCGCTTGGCTATAGGGGAAGTCGAGGTTTCCCCGTCGACGCCATATCCTGACTTTCGTTTCAGCTCATTAAGAAACCTTCAGATGATTAGATATTGGCTTGTAATAAACAACCCGTAGAGGCGGGCCTAGATTGTTACCTCTCGGATACAACAACCTTCCGATCCTCCTTATCAAAGACACACTCGACTGACTTCCGCAGGCAATTCGCACACGGTAACGATCCCGAACACTTCACTTTGCGTTCACGGCACCGCGTACAACTTTTTTTTTATCGTCAGTAAAAAGCGACTTATTAATACACACTTTCAAATCCGAGAATGGTGAGCCTGAAGGTTACTGCACTCACGCGTTGCTCGCTCGCTTGCCTCGCGGAGCAGAGTTTGCCGTCTCGGCTTCTTGCTCGGCTGAGCTGCTTGGACTCTCGCCTTCGCCAGCCATCACATCGGCATATTCAATTGTCCACAAAATATTCGTATGGCGGCATATGCCCTATGTTGTCTGGCTCCTCTCGTTGAATTCTTGCAATTGTCAATTGTGAGATAGAACGCGGTGCGGAGGCATCTTGATTGCACCTCCAAGCCCAGCCACAGTCACAATTGTGGCGCAACTTAGCGTGCTCTGAACTGAATACCCACCCCAGAATCTCCGCTCAACTGAAGTTTTGACTTTATTCTGATCTTGCTTGAATGTAGATTTTTTGCATGGGTCATTTGATTTCGATTCACTTGCTACTTCTCTAAGGTGTTCACTGATTCCATATCATGATGTTGTTTTCGCTACTACATCATAGACAGACAGTGCGGAGCACAGTGGCACTCTCCAGCTCGGCTCGCTAGGCCGAATTTTGCTCCTTGAAGCGGGTTCTCGACCCGCACGCACTCCTGCTATAGTTTATCGTGATGGCTTACACTTCCGATGCCCTACCAATTGAGCAGGTTTTATGATATCAGGGTTTCTCTGTTGATGACAATGCAAGCTTTAGTCACTATTCCGCTGCGGAAATGCATATCAACTGCTTACTATAGGTGGTCCTCGCCCGTCCATGCTCTCAACCATTGGGAACGCAGCAACAAGAACCTCTTTGGGATGGCTGTCTCTGTTTAGCAGCAGGGAACAAGAGACTGGTGTGAACTACCTTTGTGCACCCTGTCAACTCAGCTGAAGTGGAACATAATTTAAAAAGATTTTATACCTTGTCCGTCCATTATCAAAACTAAACTTTCTTGAAAAGCGTGGGAATCTGGGGACATGGGAATTTGGAAGTCTGGAAGCGAATCAATTATTTCTGCATACCTGGGCAGAAGGAACATATTTGTATTTCAATTAATCCAACCCCTGAGGAAGGTAGTATTGACCCACACACAAAAGGTACTAAGACAGTCCCAAAACAAAGCTTTACATTCTAGTCTGTCTCCGGCTATCTGACTGAGTTAATGCCACAAAGCCTGCAGGGCATTACAGATAAAATATCGCGTTCCACAATATGAGAATAGTGTTTCCACCTTAACTCAATCACTATTCATATCTAGACCGACTGCTCATCTGAATATGTATACTGTCAAATTATGTGCAAGAAATAAAGGCTATGTACAAATCCCTCGTTGCAGAAATCCTAGTGTGGCTATTAGGGAAACGCGCTGAGTCCGGGAAGGTGAATACATAGCAACCCTCTCGACCTATAAGCTATTCCATGATTCCTTTCTAGCAGTTACCCGATGCAGTGAACGAGGCCTTCTCTTTGGTACCGACGTTGTTCACAACGACCTGCTTACCGTTGGAGCAGGTGACACGGACGCTAACGGTGTCCACGAGAAATCCATCACCACTACTTTTCTGCCAGTAGTTGTAGTCCTGACGGACAGTTGGCTGCCAGCTCTTACCGCTGTCGGTACTGACTTCGAACTTGGTGACTGGGTAGTTGTGGTTCACAACTTGCATGGAGAACCTAGGAGATATATAAGTTAGACTATTCGGGTCGCTACCGTGATCAAAGACACATACCACCACTTCGAAGTTCCCTCCTTATTACGGACGATCAAGGGTGAGGTGATGCCGCAAGGTACCTGCTCCCATGAGACGCTGATTTGTCCCTTATTAGGGTCGTCGAGCTTGGCGAAGGCATCAGAGAAGAGATCGAGCTGGCCGTTTCCGCAACCTGAGGGGCATTTGTCGACGACCTGATCTTTGAGTTAGGGCACGTCGTGGATGTATCGGTTGAATAGATTTTCTGATGCTCACCATAACTTTGATGGTGTTGCCCTTCGGTCCCTTAACATTGAGGCAGGTACCACAGTTTCCGTTGTAGTTGGTGTACGACAAGGCAGTACCCAGGACGCTCGATGGCAACGTGTAACTAGAAAACAGGCAGTTGCCTCCGCTCAAGTTTCCACCATACCAAGTTGCAACAGCGCTCGTGGCAGCGGCGGTGCCTTGGATCATGACGGCAAGGGCCGCGCCAATGGAAAATATACCTTGCATTTTGATGAATAGAGGGGTTGATCCTGGAGACTCGGTGATGATAGACTGGGGGCAGGGCGGAACGGGACGAGATCATCGCAGGAAAGCAAGCTCGCTTTATACCAGGAAGTCCACGGTGCTTATTACAGTCACTTCAGAGCAGATGACCATATGAAGAAGGTCCAAAGGGATGGGCTAACGTACTGACAGCCATGCGGCATCCCACAAAAGAAACAGCACTCAATTCCTTAATCTATTTCGCTTGAATCACAAACTCCTTGGGGTATCATTCCCATAGACTACTAGCTCTCGCGACTCAATCAGAAACCCGCCACTCAGCAATAATAGCCCCCCTTTCTCTGCCATGTGAAACTACATGGGGTAATTCTGCCCTCTAATTCGCCAAAGTAGCGCTAGGAGCGCGGAGTGAGCGGAAACGCGATCGGGAAAGGGAGCCACAGAGGTTCACGATGGGCTTATTATTCCCACTCTATACTAGCAGTGGCCTATGCTTCGTCGGCTCCCCGGCTACATGCATCAAATTTGCAGGTGACATCCTTTCAAGGGGTCTTATGTCCGCGTCGTACGGTTTGTTGCCGACTTTGGATTTATCCTTGGTGGAAGAGCGTGCCGATTGGGAGTTTTAAAGTTTCAACGTTTCACTAAATCGTCACTGCTAACCCAAAGGGATGGTAAATGGCCGTGAGTCTGGACCGGAGTGGATAGTGGACATGAGTCGCGATATTGCGGGCGGTGCCGTATTTCAGATTGCACGGCCTGTTCGCGAGCAGAATTCCACTTCGGATCCCACGTGGACGGATCGCGTTGTGGGAACTTATTGTGAAAACAGACAGGGCTGCTTCGAATGCCATGTCTTCGGGCCAGGTCTACTTCTTCTTTTCCATGCCGGTCTTCCGTGCGGGTGGTTGATGGCCCTGTCAGGCTGTCATCGGTCGAGCCGGTGTTCGCTTGTAGTGTAAGCAATGTCCTAGTGACGATCACGTTTCTTTTGGACATCCCTTCGATTGTCTTGCCGCCCAACAAGCTGTTTGGACATTGCCGAGTTGTTCAGATAGATTAGCGACGACCATTCTGGCGAATGATAATGACGCACAAATTTGTGTTTGCAATTTTTCGAAACAAACCATCCTATTGATTGTCTCTTAAGTTCCAGTCTGGGCCCCCCCCTAGCACATAAGACTACTAATTCATACATATTATCCTTCGTAGCCATTCTTGGTTGACATTTGGATTGCCAACAAGAAAACGACACCCCTCAGTAGAGCCAAGTCTCTCAATTGACAAGCTCTTCGAAAAGCATCTGAAATTTTCTCGTAAAAGAATTATTTCCTCTGCACGAGAGCCGTCAAAGACCTGGCTGATGAATCCCCGACAAAGCTGACCTAGTAATAGTCCGCCATTGTCGCGCTATAACTGAGTAAGATCATCCGAAGCAATAGCCAAATCGCACATGAGTAGGCGACAATGCATCTTGGGTCAAGTCATGGTCACTTGCCGTAAACACTTGCCTGGCAGCCTCGCACCCAAGGCACCTGAAAGTGTATTCCGGAAGGTCGGAGTCACTGAATCAGCAATATAATCCAGCCCCAACGGCTTGGCCGACCTGGTCCTCGAAAAATTCCACTTCACCAATGTAGGATCAATAGCCGAGGAGATGACTCGAGGTTCAAGCTGAACGAGGATGCTTTCGTATCCTCGCATATGACACGCTAACTGAAGATGGCATTCGGCGAGCGGGTCTTGAAGTCAGACCATGTGCGTCGCCGGATGCGTCCTATGTTCGCCAGTGATAAAGTGCCCACGCCACGACTTTCTCAAGCCGAACACGGAATGTCTCAACATTGATCCTGGCCGAATTCCTCCCGGATTCTTCAACATCGCCTGTTCACCGGAAGTCGAATCATCTGAACATCCATTGTAATTACTATTCCAACCGTTTGTGACGTTTTCATACATTGGCTTGCATTATATTTTCTTGGTATCGTATGTCCGTGGCAGACAAAAAGTGCATAAATATGTATTTCTTCGTCTCTCCGTGTGTTATCTTCCTCCGGGGATACGCATGAACCAACCTTCAGAATCTGCCTAGTAATTATCAAGCCAAAATGGTCACCACACAATCGAAACCCGAGAGTTCTGGCATGGACATGTCAAAATATATCACCCCGTGGAAGCTTGATCCACAGCAGCCGTATCTACTGAAAAATTGTAGAATTGTTGACCCAGTTCATGGATCAATCAGCAGCAATGCCATAGTTACCCTTTCCGCCGGCAAGATTGTCTCCGTTGAAACGGGCGAGCCAGCAAAGTCACACGGATTCGACATCAAGCCGGAGAACATCATTGACATCGAAGGGAAATACGTTTGCCCCGGACTGATTGACTGCCATGTCCACATCGCGGTCACGCCAGGCGCGGCAAGCCTGTCGTCGTACCGAGACATGACGGAGACCAAAAGCCTCCTACGGCAGCCCAGTGTTCTCAAGTCAATGCTCCAGCGTGGTTTCACTACCGTCAGAGACTGCGGCGGTGCGACTCTTGCGATGAAAGAGGCCGTTGAAGAAGGCATCTATCCCGGCCCACGCCTCTTCATTTCTGGAAAAGCCCTCTCTCAGACTGGAGGCCACGGCGACATGAGGGGACGGCACGACACCATCCCCTGTTGCGGTGGCGCTGTATCAGGCATCAGTCGCATCGTTGATGGAGTGCCAGAATGCTACCGCATTGCGAGAGACGAATTGCGACAAGGCGCAGACTTCATCAAGATCATGGGCGGTGGCGGCGTTGCTAGTCCAACTGATCGCATCGACCAACTTCAGTTCTCCGACGACGAAATCAAGGCCATAGTGACGGTTGCAAATAACGCAAAGACATATGTCACGAGCCACTGCTATACCACAGACGCAGTGACACAAGCAATCAACCAGGGCGTTAGGGGTATTGAGCACGGCAACCTGATCGATCTGGAAACCGCGAAGCTCATGGCCAAGACGGGGACATTTCTCACGCCAACGCTTGTCACTCACTTCGTATCAAAGGAGTCACATTTTCTTGATGCGGAGTCGGAAGCCAAAGTCACCACTGTACTCGAACAGGGCCTAGTTACACTCAAGATGGCAACTGAAGTCGGTGTCACTGTCTGCTTCGGCACAGATCTGCTGGGTCCTACTCACTTTGCTCAGTCGAAAGAGTTCTCTATTCGCAGTCAAGTTCAAACATCTCTTCAGGTTCTGCAAAGCGCCACCATAAATGCCGCCAAGTTGCTTGGTCAGGAAAATAAGCTAGGCCAGGTCAAGGAAGGATTCATGGCAGATCTTCTGGTTCTGGATCGTAACCCTTTGGATGATATCACAATCCTGGACAAGTCTCAGGAGTCTATATTAGCTGTTGTGAAGGACGGCAGGGTTGTATATTCGCATCTCGGCTGTATGGAAGAAGAACCGAGAGCCTAAGACATGTGTGATCTTCCGCGCAGGCTCTAGGTATAGGATAGAAAAAAGAAACCACTTGTCGTATTGGGCGAAATCCCGCGATTTCTGACGTTTCTTGAGACTACCTTTTACTGAATTAAATTCTCCTTGTGGGCTTTACTTTGAGTATCTGGTATTACCGCCAGAGGTTGTGCCCAATATACCGAGTAGCCGGCTCCGCTTGTGAGAGCACTATTTCGGCTTTTGAGACTCATCTCTACGTCACCTACATCCCACCCGGATATTAATACAGCTTCAGATTTGTAATTGAGCCCGGATTATAAATCATACACAAAGTCTGAGAGGTATTAGAGCAAATAAGAGAAGATTGCAGTCCGGTTGAATGCCCGAGCAGTCAAATTCCCTGCTGCACATGCCTCTCTATTCTCAGATCACGATGTCGGCCACAGTTACAACTTTTCAGCCCCATGCATTGGAAGTTGAATTGACTCAAATCCAATACGATACAGAGACAGAAAGACGAAATTCAGCTACCTGCCGGCGACGAGAAGCTTCCGCCATTCCTCCAGAGTTCTCATCCTTCACCGAACAAGTGGGATTCGTTTGCATATGCTCTATGGGCCAGCTCATGTTTGCGATCCATCTTCCAGACATATTTGTTAACCAAATCACCCTCATCGACGCCCTCGAGACGAGCTCGCTCAACACATCATGGCTTATTGGTTCATTTCTCGTGGCTAACGGGGTTTCCGTCATCATTTCGGGTTCCCCGGCCGATCTCATCAGCCCGAAATTCCTTACCTGTGCGGCCTTCATCTGGTTTTCCCTATGGAGTCTTATTGGTGCTTTCGCTATCACGCCTGACATAATGATACTGTTCTGCATTACTTGAGCCATGTCTGGCTTGGCGGTTGGGACTCTTTGCTCCGCAGCTATGAGTATGCTCGGGAGAGTTTATGATCCTGGTCTCCGGAGGAACCGAGTGTTTTCTCTGATGGACGCCATGATTCCACTCGGGTTTTCTATTGGAGTCATGCAGGGCGGTGCGTTAAGATCAAATTTGCCTTGGGTATTTTTCATCAATAAGCGGTCTGTCTCTCGCATGTCTGGTCGCGGCTCTCTGGTGCATCCCTGCTCTTCCCGTAGAAGCATTGTCTTTGAAGGACTTTGACTACGTCGGTGCTGCTGCAATAATTCTTGCATGCGGACTACTTATCTTTGGTCTCACCCAAGAGTCGCCTACACACTGGACTCCTTACGCCTACGCCCTCGTCATCGTTGGAGTTGCCTGTCTAGCCAGCTTCGGTCTGATAGAGAGCCGAGTATGTCAGCCGCTGATAGATAATCGCCCCTGGACGACTCCCGTATACTTTCCATTGATTCTGTCCTACTTTCTAGGATATAACGCTTATGCAGAGGCCAGGCAATTCTATGCGGTACGCTTTATGCTTACCATTCAGCAAAAGTCACCCATAATTGTCGCCTGCTATCTTCCTCCTATCGGTGTAAGCGGAATTCTTACGTCGTGGGTTGTTCTAGAACGCTTCACGTGGTACCAGGACACTTGATCATGATGGGGAGCATGATTACATTTGCCACAGGCCCTGCTTTGTTCTTACCTCAACAAGCGGGCACACTCTATTGGACGCTCTTATTTCCCTGCTTCATCATAAGCACCTTTGGGGCAGATGTGTCGTTCGCAGCTGTCTCCGTGTTCATTACATCGAATGTGCCCAGATCGTATCAAGGTGCTGCAGGGAGTTTGGTTATCACTGCACAAACTCTTTTCACTGCTGTACTCGCAGCTTTAGGAGAAACTATTGGTGGAAATAACACAAGCCAACCAAGTGGCGCCCTGGATTTGATGTCACTGCGTTATATTTGGTGGTTGAGCCTGGCGACTGCGCTGACAGCGGCTTTCATATGTGCTTGCTTCGTTGGAACACCTAGGAGTGACGAGAAGGAGCATGTAAGCTAAATTTACATATTCAATACGATGTATGTCATGAATAATCATAATACATTAATTACATATGGCAGCACCTCGATGGTGTGAGGTTACTACGTGTGATCTTCACGCTCCTTATAGGTATCAAACCACGCTCATTCAATTACTGGCCTACTCTTGGGTGGCGCTGGGGTATCATCACACTTTGCTCTTACTCTCTAAATTTCCAGGACTCTACACAGTCTCGCTAGACTTGTGTGAATGGGTAGTGGTTGAGCAAGCCGCCACATGCTCAAGGTCGACATTGAGGTCGTATGCTGGCTCGCTGACGACATCGAATCTACTCATGCGTGTTATTTGTAGCGTTTTCACGGTTGATTTGTAGTTGTAACCGTTCGACTTGTCCGAATAGCCAGCTCTTCGGTTCGATCGGAAGTACGGTCTGAGACATGGTAATGTCGCAACTAAAAGACCGATGTTGACGTCCAGCTCGCTCCAAAGTTCTGCGAACCATCTTGTATCAGCATACATCCATCAGAGAGTTTACTGAGTCGTGCTCAAGAACTCACCGACTAAACCGAAAGGCAATGCATCGACTGATGCAGTCTGAATGGTGATGAAGCGGACGAGAGAAAAGGTCATGTTGATGATGCCGAGACCAAATGTACAGTAAACGCCAATTTTGAGAGCTCTCTTGATCTTCAAATCAGGTAAGATGAGCCACGGGAGACAGAAAACTTCGCAAGAGGTCAGTAATTTTTCGAGTTGTAAGGCCAAGAAGCTTACTCACTCAAGATGTCTCCAAAGAAATGCAACGCCCAGCCGACTTGGAAAACAATGGCGGGAGATGAAGCCGAGCACATGACATTCTCTGTTCCCACAACCCGATCTTCGACAGACCTGCCCAAAAGCCTAAGTCAGTCTCTACGCGTGGAAAAAGTGCCCGTCATCATCGGGTGAACTCACCAGTTCTTACTCAGGGGCAGGCAAACAGTGAAAAGCAGGATAATGCTGACCAGGTACGCCAGCCCAATATATACTATAGCCGTCCATAGCATCATGCGTCGATAATACATGAAAATGGGAAATATCTGAACGTAAACGGCGAGGAGAGCTCCTTTGCAGAGGTAGAAAGTCGTAAAAAATGGTATGCTGCTGGCCCAAAATAGCTTTTAGGCATATAGTATCAGCACGATGAAAGTGATAAAGAAGAACTTGCTTTCGCATACCCTCATAACCAACATAACTTGGTCGTCGTTTCCATCGAAGCCATCGAGATTGATTTTGATGTTTTGATGTAAAGCGCCCATCACAGTGAATTGGATATCGAATGACGCAGTTACAACTGCGGAGCACCATGCTAGGCATAGGAAGTAATCGCTAATCTGCAATTTTCTCCCCTGAATGTTGATTCGGAGATGGAGGGAGGCAGCTAGTACTGCGCCGGCGGTCAATATGGTAACCCATCCCGTCGTCTAAGTTCGTAGCAGGTAAGGTTAGCGGCCGTGTTTCGACATTGAGGTTTCGAGATCCAAAATGCGGTATCCGACGTACTATGATTGTAACCGCCTTTGGGGTCGGAAAGTGAGCCATCATCCATCGTCACATTCTCAAACACGCTGTTGAACCCTGTTCAGAAAGTGGGTGTCTGGAATTATAAAAGAGGATGTGAAGGGAGCTGAATGCCTGCGAAGGCTAGTTGAGACAGACAGACTCCTAGCGTGAGATCAGAATCATACTTACCCTAGTTCCGTTGTCCGATTTCGAACTAAACATACGTACGATACCGAGTCCATCATCCGGATTCGGAAGTGCTCCAACTTTATCCTTGAACGTCGCGCCCATCGGCCGACCCTTTTGCACATGTGTAGAAGCAGTGCATGTGCGCAAGGCAGCCCCCATTCAAAGGGATGCGCAACGATATGGACATCGCTTGCATAAACTCGTTGGGCAAACAATGCCCATACCAGCCGCAATTGACAGAGAATATCGATTGAGCGAAGATTACCATGTAGGCGGGTTCTGCATATTTATCGCACCAGGGGTCTGAGATGAGTGTTCTGGTCGGCTGACATGCTGTTTCCCCTGCAACGTGGAGTATTGTCTTGGATGCAATAGATCACTCGTGTTACCGTCTGCCTTAGGATGTGTCATCCTTGTCCCACTCGCCGAATTCGTTTCTAGATTCAAAGAGCGCCGGTAAAGCATGTCATCTCGGATGCCTCACACTTGCATCACTTCCTTGATAGGGCTCGGGTTCGGGAAGCCGAAAAGACAACGGCCCGTGGAATCTGCATACGAAACAGAAGATTCGCTGGACATTCACAAGCCTTGGTCTGGTGCCACCATGAGCCTTCCTGCAGGCAGCAGAGAGTCCAAAGACAGCCAAACTCCGCGTATACGTTTCGCGCACTCCGTTTCGTCCGTACCCGTACAGCCGATATGACGGGCCGGCTTGGTGCCTGTGACACCAGTCTATGCGATCCGCGCCACATCGCAGCATATTGGCACGTCCACTGAGCCGCTTTATCCTGATAATTCACGCTAAAATATTTGGCTGCAGTTCCAGTCTGTCGTGTCTATGCAAACTTGATGCGCTGAGACCAGCGCGGCGGGGCAGCACGTGGACCGGCCAAGTTATTGACAGGCTTCGGCCCTTCGAAACGGGAACTAGCTTCTGGGAGAACCCGAAGAGCGGGCTAGTCACTGCGTGCCCGTTCTAGACCAGCACTTTCCGATGTTTTGATGAGTACGGACGTACGATAATCCTTGATTTTATTGCTATCCTCCAAGAGGAAGCTCAAAGCTACGCGTTATGGCTTGCACTCATCTGCCTACTTATTTAAGGTAGTCAATGCAGGATTCTAGACGAATGCCTTTGCTTCGGTGGCCCGTTTGTTTGACCTGGATTCCACCAGTGAACTTCCTGGATTTGTTCTGGAAGATTCTTCCTGGATCATTTGAAGGGTTCACGGAAGTGAGACTTTGGTGTTACTGAGTACACTGAGCTGAAAACGAATTGCTCAACCGATTGACGAAACACAAGGCTCCTGTACCTTAGACAACAATTTTTTCCATTCAAGTGAGATTGGGATTTGAAAGCCATTGGCGATTTAAAGCAACAATCGCCTATAACGCCCCATGTATCGAACTTAGGTACTTTACCTAGTGGGATCGCCCCAAATCTAGCTCCGGTGAGATCCCGGTTTCCGGGCCGCTTTTTCACTCGGGGCCATCGCCGGGGCGGCCCCACTTTGCCGCGCTTCCGAAAGCATCAATTTCGGGCATGGGTGAGACAAGGCGAATAAGGGTGGCGGGAATCAGAGACACAAGAAACGTTTCTGTACGAATCACCTCACGTAACGCAAGCTCGGTTTGCCCGCACCGCTTTGTGCTTGCTTTCGATGAAAACGGTCCGCCGTGATCTGACGTTACGAATTTACGATTGCCCCTCATTCTCTTCCGGGCCCCGGCCCCAGTTTCCCAGCTAGCCATCGACCCTTCTTTGGAGATAATGGATGAGGAGATGACTCTCACTCCATGGCTGCACACCCGCGGAGATTTCCAGACACCGGTTTAGAAACGGGAGTCTCGGCGAGGTGTGGCGCATCGTCGCCGAGCGAAGCCGACTGATTGGCAAGCAAATGCTGTTCAAGAGGAAGAAGATGATGCGCGCAAATCATGTAAGGAATAGCTTTCAAGAGAATCCAAAGTTTTCAGACGCTTTATAATGCGATATGTGGTGGACTGGGACCTGTGCATACATCGCTGTTTTATCTCTTTCTAAGCTTGTCATTCTCTACGCTGTCAGATTTGGTGAGAAGCACAATGAGAAGCTTCGGCTTGCGCCTCAAATTCACCTACTCCACAACCTTTCTCTTGTATATCCTCTATATAATAATGATTCTCAAATTTCAAATCGGTCTTTTAGACGGCTCTCCACCGACTCGAAGCCGATGTGTTACGGGCCGGTCCTTGCTCCTCATAGGTCACACTCACGAAGTCGGTCCGGATGATCTTTCCGTCGGCGGGATGCTGACTTGAGTCGCTTTGTCTGGAAGTGAGAGTTGGGGCACACGATGAAGCGGATATTCCATGGTTTGAGTCGGTCGTTGGTGTAAGGATGTTCTCCTGGCCATCGCCCTCGACAATGGTAAGACCGAGGTCATACTTGGGCTTGGCTTTCGTCTTGCGCTGGCCCAGCTCAATACCAACTCCTCCCCGCGATTTCGACTTGCTCTGAGAGCCGTAGTCTTCATAGTAATGCGGCGTTTGCTTTGAGCCACTGGCAGAGCTGAAGGGATTGCGCCGGAGTATGAGCTCAAGAAGCGTTTGCATTACGGGTATTGAGCTTGCAATGATTATGGTGCTGCCCTCGAAGCTACCAGGTTCCAAAGTCAGTTAAGCGAGATAAAAACGTCTGTTAATTCATTGGAGCTGATCAGATAATATGAAAAGGAGAGGTCGGACTTGCACTGTCCAGATCACCAGGTCAGAGGTGTCGTCTGTCGAGGCGAAAGAAGTCAGCTATAAATCATTCGACAGCACAAAAACGAGAGGGGGGCTTACACGAGAAATTTTTGCTTCCAAGGGATGGAATACGAGTCGTCTTGTAAATAGCAACAATTCCGGAACTTCCAAGTTGTTAGCCACATGTATCAAGTTGAGCTAATCGTTGCCCGAACTGAGGGGAATCTTACATTGAACCAATGCCAAGCGCACACGACAGCGCGATCTTCTTCTTGGTGGCCATTTGAAGGCGGAAAAGTACGACAGCCGGATACACAGCGAGGTAAACATCGACGAAGGCTGAGAAGGCTGTGTTGTAGAAACAGTATGAGTAAAAAGCAGACAAGCCCATAGTGAAAGGGGCTTTGGCTTACATCCCGCATAAATACAATATGCCACCAGAATACTGACATCAAAGCAAGTGCCCTCAACAGAAAAGTCCCACAAGGACCTGGCTGGCATGCAACGCCCGAGGAGGAGACCAGCTGTGACGAATAGCGTCAACTGGCACCAGATTCCTAGCCACCATAGAAACCACTTATGATATCTGTCGGGGTTCATCAACCGCACTAGCAAAGAGACGACAGCTAGCTTAGGGAGACCGAAGGACATTATACCAGGGCAGAAGGCTGCCGTGGTCCAGAGGATAGCTCCCTGCTGCTGCTCGGTCGATAAGAGAGACATGTGCCTTCCATTGCCGTAGGTGACTGCGATCGTAGACAATGCCGTTGAGATGTAACCGCAAAACTGAGAACATCCGTGAGTCAGGCTAAGTTGCTGGAGCGAAAGAGAAAGAGAGAGAGGCAACTGTTCGCGACAGAAACTCTCGTCACTGGACAATGGGGAACACGTACCAATCAGAGGATGATGAACCAATCATCGCTCTGGAACTTCTCAATTATCTTCCCCCTCACGTAGACACGACCGACAACGAAGCAAGTGCTGATTGCTGTGACAATCCAGCAGACGATGACGATAGTTGGTCCTTTGTCGTGAGCCTTCTACTCGTCTGATCTCTCGACTGGAGAAGCCGACATCTTGGAGTCGTGGTAGGCAGTGACCTGATGATTCTGCGATTAAGGAATCGAGACTCGGGGGATGAGAGCAGATCAAGGCACAAACAGGACGATGCGTAATAAATACAAAGCAGAATGTGGCACGACTACTCGCAAAATAATTCTTTAGTGCCCCCCGAGGGACTGGTCGAAGACGTGCAGATCTTGCGTAACCTGGTGTCCTTACCAGGTATTGGGGTCCCCAAGAGGGGATTAAGTGCCATGCCGTTGGTTTGCAATAGAACAAACCCCTACTCGACTTTCAGTTCAAAAAGAAACTTGGACTTGCAACTCAAGGGTCTTGCTCGATATGTTATGTAACATCGCCGTTTTCTTGCACGCTCCGTAGCTCAACCCCTGAAGATCTAGCCCCCATTGACAAAACTGAACGTTCGGGCTGAGGGGTTAAGTCGCAAATCCGTAGACACACAAAGGTGCCTGAAACCCTGTAACAACAGGCAACCACGCCAGGGGATTTCACGCGAAGTTACGGCATACATGCAGCATAGATAATTACCTTGGATACCTGTAGCTGCATGTGCTTGGGCGCTTGGAGGGACGGCGGAAACTGTCCGACGTGGGCCACGGGCCGCGACCCGTGGCTCTCTTACCCTCTGTGCAAGCAGATCGCAGTTCTCATTACGTTGGATGCAGTCTCGGCAACTGCTTTGGCTCAGGGGGAACTTGAAGTCGGCGGGTGCAAGAGCAAAATGGGATGTTTGATGGCGTGGAGCTGCAGTTGTTATGCCAAGACCCTGGCCGAGCACCAACAGCCAAGGGTCGAGAGTCATACCTCAACAGGTGGAGGATAACATCACTCGCCGCTGATGGATCCTGAGCCCCGTGCCTCCTGATTTCCACTATTATCATACCGGATACACGGCGCATCAAGTGAAGACTGTGTTGGGAGGAATCCAGACCACAAGCGCAATAGAACAACGTTCATGGTGATTGGCAAACTAAGCAAGGTGCTTTTAGCGGTATGGGTAGACCATGTTGTCACAGAATTTCCCATGAGATTGAGATGGGGGCTTAGGCATCGGTCCCGTTCTTTCGTGCTTCAAAGATATTGGCCGAGGGCGATGGACGGATGAAGCAAACAACCGTTGGACGGATCGATCGGCGTGGACGTGACAGAAATGGCTCTGTAACCATACAGCTACCGTGGTGATGGCCACTCGTAAAACTGACTTCCAATGAAAGATGTGTTGGTGCAAACCAACAAACATTCGCCCAGAGCCTACCCAGTCCGGAACACTCCTCCAGGTGGGGCCGATAACCCGGGGCCCCGATCTTCCAACGCCGGGGTACTTGACGAGCGGTTCGGCGTCTTGCGAGTCTCCGGTGTAAAACTCTCACGCTGACGAGAAACGTGGTGAGCAGTCAGGTGGAAGCCCCTGTCTGGCTGCGCAAAGTGGCTTGAATGCGAATGGCACGGCTGGGTGAAGAATCGAGACTCGGCAGATAATTAACACTGATAAGAATATGTTTGCATGGCAGGAAGATCTTGGCTGTAAGTAAAATTGCCGACATGCTTTACCTAGTGATGAATATGCACTGACATGCATCATCTTAGACGGCACGCACTTCAACCACCACATGTCCGGCTACCGCCAGAGTCGCCCTCCATGGATGGCCCCTGGCTTCTTCCCTGTCAAGTAGAGGTTCGTCAAAGGCACCAACATGGACGCCGATGCGCCCTTCTTGGGGGACATTGGCGGCAGCATCGGTCACGACTTGGCTGAGTTTCACTTCTACTACCCCAAGGCGCCGGGGAAGCTCATCCTTCAGGATCGTCCAGTCGTCATTGAGGAAATTCAGGAGCTCATACCGGCAATCCAGCCCATGGGCCATGATTTCCTGACAGAGCAGCCCGTGAAAGGAGCCCGCGCCTACTACATGCACTCGTGTCTGCATGACTGGCCTGATGATGTCTGCGAGACGATTCTCAAACAGATCAAGGCTGCTATGAAGCCTGGGTATAGCAAGTTGTTGATTAACGAGAACGTGATCCCATCCACTGGAGCTTGGTGGGAGACGTCTGCACTCGACATGGTCATGCTGACGCTTTTCTGCTCTAAGGAACGCACTGAGGGCGATTGGTATCACTTATTGGAGAAGATGGCCGGGCTGAAGATTGTCAAGATTTGGAGTGTTGGCAAGGGTGTTGAGAGTCTGATTGAGGTTGAGCGTCCGTAGACTTCCAACTTCCAAGGGGGTTGAATTTGTTGTACTCGTATGTTTTGGTAGATACCTATAATGATATAGAGGAAGGACAAAATATTGCATCAAGTGTTACAGCCAAGTGTTACAGCCGTACACAGCTCCAGTACCTCTTTAAATTAATGGTGGACTCAGAGCTTCCCATTCGCATGTTGCCTGATGACTTTGTCAATGGCCTGTGCTGCGCGCTTCACATTTTCCACGCTCAAGCCAGCGACATTGATCCTTCCAGATCCTGGTAGATGAACATGATACGTCTCGACGAGCTCCCTGCACTGGGATGGTGAAAGTGCGAGGCATCTGTCTGTGAGATTAGCGATGTATTCCATCAGTGAGAGTATACAACTACTAACGAGAATAGTCCTTTCTCTTTCACCAGATATGACCAGTCTCCGGGTGTCTACTTCAAGTCAATCCTAATACATATGCTTTTTTTTTTTGGAACAACATACCTTGAGGTTTAACGCGAGCTCGTCGTGCAGGGTTTGGCGGTTTCTCTTCAGACGTGTTCTCATGCCATCAATCTCTAAAGTCCTAAACCCCGTTGTCAGCAGATGGGTGATGAAAATTCAATGGACTCCGACTTACCACTTCTTCCGCAAATCAGTATCATTAAGTACGATCTTGACAAGACGGCTACCGTAGGCCGGGGCTGACGAGTATGTGTGCCTTATCAAGCTTCGAAGTCTATCTTGAACATTCGCAACTACCTTTTGCGAGTTACCAACAAAATGAAGGGCGCCACATCGCTCCCCATACAACGCAAAGTTTTTTGAGAATGACTGGCAAACCAGCATCTCAATACCTGCTTTTGCAAATACGCGTATACCTACGGCATCTTCCTCAAGCCCGTCACCAAGACCCTGGTACGCTGTGTCAAAGAATGGCAAGTGGCCATAAAGTTTCATCTCACTAGCCAGTTCTGCCCATTGACTAGGGCTTAGATCAACTCCTGTAGGGTTGTGGCAGCATCCTTGCAACACGAAAACGCTGCCTCGCACTGCCGATTGTACAGCATTGAGGAGGGCGGTAAAGTTGACGGCGTGTTTTGACCCATCAAGATAGAGATATGTGACGGTCTCCAGACCAACGTCTTGGAAAATTGGAAGGTGGTTTCCCCAAGTGGGAACTCCAATGTAGACTTTGGGCTTCGGTTCCATGACTTTCGAGATGAAAAGCGCTCCCAAAGAGTTGGCCCCTGTCCCAGAAATTGTCTGGACTGAAGAAACCTGGATGCCAAGCTTAGTGTCTTTGCCTTGGCAAGTTCTTTGAATCTCTTCAAAGATTATTAAAATCTCATGAAATTATCATGACAACCACATACTCTGCCAGTTTGAAGGGCGTCGCTGTGCTCGCCAAACATGACTTCCGCGGCAAGTCGGAGGAAATCCGCATCTCCTATCGTCAACTCATACTAGACAAAGTTCTCAGCTTAGTTTCTTAAGGAGGTCTTTCCTGGAATCTTACATCATGTCCTAAGTTTAGCTCGTCGAGCTTTCTTTTGGCCTGCGTTATATTTAGCAAATCCTCCAGCCTTTACGTTTTTTTGTCGCTGGAGAAGAAGCTTCGATCATACCTGTCTGACAACATCCAACTCTTGGTAACTACCCTCTTCGCTACGGTAGATACCAACACCCAAGTCGACCTTTTCTAGGCTTGTGTCGTTGTCTGCATCCCTTTTGAGAGTGAACATAGGGTCTGGAGGACCGGGCTGTACGTGTCCAAACATTTTGGCAAAGCTGGAATGAAGAAAGGCTGGAAGCTTTGGGGAAGCAAAGCATTCAATTTCTTTCGCACTCCTTCGAATTTACTACTCAAGTACCGGCGAAAAATGAAAGGTCCAAATGCTCCGGCTAACTGGCATCCATCGCCGAGTTGGCGGCGGCGCGGGCAGCCGAGTCTCCACTTGGCACTTGCACGCCCTCGGGACGCCTGCCCGAGGCGCTCAGATTGGCGGGAAGAGGAGCCGAACCGTCAACAAGTAAGCTGACACCATCCTCGGCCCAAGGAAGCCATGAAAACTAGATATCTCGAAGATACTGCATGATTATGTTCGAGTTCGAATAACTGCACGTTGACAAACCAGCTTTCTTTTCGTATATACAGAATGGCTTCTCTCCTATCCAACAGCTTGAACCGACTGAGCGTATCGGGAAAGCTATGTACGGTGAGTTTCTAATGTAAAGGAGAAACATAGTGTGACTACTCATACTGACATACCGATTTAGGCAATGGGCATTCGCCTTGTCGCGAACACACAGATTGTTCATATGGCGGCAAACGGAGGTTTCGATGCTCTTTTCATTGATCTCGAGCATTCGACGTTGTCCATTCATGATGCCAGTCAGCACTGCATTGTTGGTCTTCAACTAGGCGTAACACCCTTCGTCAGGGTTCCTTACCAATGCGGTAACGGTTTCGTTCAAAAGGTTCTCGATGGTGGAGCAATGGGGGTTGTCTTCCCTCATATTCATGGCCGCGGTAAGTGCCAATGAGTTCCGGCCTAGAATCCGAACTTCACTCTTTGGACAAGGAACACTGACAACCTGCGGGCAGACGATGCTATGGCTGCTGTCTCGATATGTAAATACCCGCCTCAGGGAAAGAGGTCCATGACTGGCCAATTACCCGTCTTCTCGTTGAAGGCCGTGCCACAGGACACCATAATCTCGGAGACCAACGCCAACGGCTCAACTGTGTTCCTGATGATTGAGACAAAGGAGAGTATTGAAAATGTCGACGATATTGCTTCTATAGAAGGCGCCGATGTCCTCCTTGTTGGATCGAATGACCTCGCCATTGAGTTGGGCGCGCCGAGCCAGTTTAAAAGCCCAGTCTTCCGGAAAGCCATGGAGACCGTAAGTCGGGCATGCAAAAAGCACGGCAAGATCATGGGCTTGGCCGGTATTTACAACAATCATGAGCTACATGATTGGGCGATTAACGAGCTAGGCGTCCGCTTTCTTCTTGGAGGACAAGACTCTGCGATATTAGCTCGGGGAGCTAAAGAAACAATGGCGGAGATTGCGAAAGTGCAAAGTAATCTCTAAACATTTGAACGGCAATATCATGATACCGACATAAATCGACTTGGATTATCTAGTGCATAATACCACTGCCTACTACGAAAGACTCCACAGGTCCTGGTGCTTGTGTTCATGAGTTATGGACTGGACTGGACTGTTGCACTCACGTGCAGTCATATGTCTCACAATTGAGGTGGTGAGCGCCACCATTACATCATCGACGTTGAACCATCTTTGAAAACAACCACTTCCCCGGACGCCCCGCAACCATTTTATGCACCCCGCCTCTGAGATATTCCCTGAATTCTAATCGCATGTTTTGATTCAGAAGCTCCATCTGCCCATGTCTAAGTGAAGCCTTCAGCCTCCAGGCTCTGCCTTACCGCAATAAAACCATCATGGCCTCCATTCTCCTCGCCATCCCTCGCATCATTCTCGCGTTCGAATACTTCGTCGGCGGTATTCCTAGACTCGGTCCTTGGCCATTCAAGACGCTTCATAAAAGAATCTACCGAAAGTCTCAGAAAACGGCGCCATACCTCCACCCACTCTACCCTTTCACTGATCAACGCACAATCAAGCTACACATGCAATATATAGGAGCTTTGATGGTCACGGAAGGCTTCTTACTCGCGCTCCCACATACTAGAGGGGGGATATTCGCCCTGTTTCTTGGATGCTTTCTTACGTCTTCTGGATACTGGAGTCAGATGCGAGCCGATATGCCTTATTGGCTTCCAGTCACAAATTTTGGTCTAGCATGGCTGGTGTGGTATATCGAGAACAGATCATAGCCGGAGGAAGAGGAAGAGATATTGTCTGACAAGCCTCTCAGTATACCCCATCATGACGTTTACGTACTAGGGAAAGCAAGTCAAATTTTCAAACTGCTGCTTAGTCTGCACGATGCATTTTACAGCAGGATTCATTGATCTCTTGCCATGAGAGCTGAAACTGTTTATTGAATCCACTCCTTTGACTCCGTGTTCAACACTGGCTTATCGGAGTCTCCTATCGGGCCAGAATACCCGACTCTTAAGAACTAGTTAAAAGACTCAGGGACGAGAGGCTTTCTTCCATAGATCGACCAGCTAAGGGACGCCAGGGTGATCAGTAATCGCGATAAAGGTAACGGGGTCCAAACGTCTCACATATTAAAGTAGGCATGGATAGTCCTATCCTTGAACTCCTTCCGGGCCTCCGCCATGAGAATGAGAACTTCCTCTCTACTCCACCGATGGACCCGAGTGCACGGAGCCATGCAAAAGCCCTCCCAACCAGCGATGGCATTCTCATGGTTCCAGATCCCCAACTCCTTGTACTTCGGATCCTTGGGCCAAGAGTTTGTCGGCCACTTGAAGAGCTGCTTGTGGACGTCCTTGAATCCGGTCTCAGCTAGGACGTCTTTCATCCTGCTAATATCCTCGAATGGTCGACCAATTTTGGCCGCGGCGTCGAAGAGCAGGGTGGCGGACTTGGTGATTGCCGAGTCAGCCTTCAGAGTGCCATCATCTGATGTTGGCACAGCATCGAATTCGATCAGCTCTAAATATCCTCCAGGGCTCAAATTGCTGCGGTCTAGCTTAGCCATATGATATCTCTGAGTTTGCTTCATACATGTATTTTGAGGGCGAAAGTCTCGTTGCTACTCACTCGAAGCATGTGTGGATATAGGCCTTCCAGTCTTTGATTGACGAATTCATCATCCGACTGTGAATGTAGTCAAATGGTTTGGAAAATGTCCAAGACTGGTCGATGTCGTCTATTTCGAACTTGACGTTAGGCGGTACACTGAGACCCGGATTAGTCTACATTCCAACAAATACGTGCCTCCGATTTCACTTACAATTCAGGCTGAACAGCTGAAAGATCGACTCCACAAACCTAAGTGCGCATACCGATATCAATGAATGAGCGAGAAACGTTAGACACACGTATAGATGCACCAGGGTTCGCCACACCTCAGCATCAGGGTGCTCTTCCCCAAAGTCGATGGCCCAAATACCGCTGCCAGTCCCAACGTCAAGAACATTGCCGACCTTCGATCCTGGATCATTGGGTGGGGCGGTCGCGAGCTTGTTATCAAACGTCAAGATGAAGAGGTTGTGCTGAAGGTCTACCGTAGTGGAAGGTCAACATTCCAGGTCTGGGCGTACATCGCAGTAGTCTTACCAAGCCGATCGTTCTCCCTTTCATCGTTCGGGAAGAAGTATTCTGATCAGCAGTTAATTATAGGGGACAGCGAATTCACTGTGAATTTCAACATACTGCCGTCGTTGTATGCGTGATACGTTCGGCCGTTCTCCATTCTGTATTCTAGAACCGAGCTGTTGACAGTTGTACTCGAGGATGCGACGCTCTATTTCAAATGGTCAAAATTATCAAAGGCCAGAAGTTGAGCGGCAAGTGTATTGCTCACGCTTCCAAGGTTCGACGCAGCGTCGCTCTCCTCAATATCCTCAGCAACAAGCACAACTTCATGATCAGTCGTGTTCTTAGGTTGAGCTGCCTGAGTCGCCGCCGGTGTCGACGGCTGACCCACGGGGCTCGTGTTGTTGTCAGCACACATTTTGCGAGTTTGATGACCACAACGATCCAAATGAAGCTCTCTAAACACTATTCTCGTGGAAATTCAAGAGTTTGGAAGGATAGAGGTATTCTAGCTTGATTACCCCTCTTCTTGGCCTCGGTCAGTGTTGTTGGTCCAACCAACACGGAAACTGCATACAGATCCTTGGTTGTTTACCAGTTTCGGTCAATGGTCCCTAAACAGGGATTTAGCCCACGTATCAGATTAAAGCGTTTCTACGAGTGGGATGAAGCAATTCTGCAACACAGTGTGACCGCGATGTCTGACTGGTGGTTGGAGGCTCTCAGCGGAGAAGCCATCCGGCCTGTCGGGGACGATTGACAATCTTTAGGCCAACTTTCCAGCTCATTACCAAGATAGGCATAGAATCATCAGCATGTCAATGAATTGAGGTAAGGAAAGGTTTGCACAATCTGACGGCATGTAAAGCGACGGCGCTGCCTAACATGATGCCAGCCTGGCGTACTAGGTAGTGTAGAAGTCATCAAACATAGACTGACAGCCCCGCATCTGGCAACCGAGATGCGATACGAGATGAACAATGGGGACGTATGCAGACCGAAGTAGAGGCATAGATACAGAGCTCAGGTGACTGGACATGTATACTGGCAGACTAGGTTGACATAAGGTAAGGTAAGTTCCGCTCCGCTCTGGGACACTAATATTGAGGGAATTAACACTTTGATTAAGTGCAAATTTCGCGACTACCAATGGCAAACAGCCAATTACGTCGCCGGTTAGTCGCGAGATGCGGGTTAAAAGTCAAAAGGTTATTTAGGTTCAGCCTCATTTCGATGAAGAGGATGGCTCGGGCCACAACGGGACCCGAGTCTCAACCAACATGGAGAACGGTATAATAAACGTCATATAGCAGAAAACCTTGCGCCAGGATGATGATGACCACGCCCCATCTAGGCCACGTGGTAAACGAAATTTGTGATCATTTTTGTACAAATGTTGTTTTTGTGTCATATATGTACATGAATAGCACACACCGTCAGAGGCTATGTTGGCTCATGTCAAGCATGGCCATTTTCCCTCTCGACCACTACGAATGTCTTTCATGAAGAAGACGTCCTTTATGTGCAGTCGCTGCTGCCGGAGATGAAGGTTCCGTCAGAGTTCTCGCAGCCGCAGACGCCCGTGTTGGGGTCCTTGATGCAGCCGGTGCCAACACCATCCTCTTCGCCGGTTCCGCTAAAATCATCACCCGTCAGTCATCGGTCCATTGTCGTCAAATAAAAAGATTCCTGTCATTTTCAAAACTCACCTCCAGAAGAAAGTCCAGCAGTCGTCGTCGGTGATCATCTCGGTGGGGGACTCGCAGGTGTACGCGGAGCAGGTTCCGTAGGGGTACCCGTTGTTGCCGTCGTACTGGTGGTCGGTCTCGAAGACGGCGAACGTCTGAGTCTTGCTGGTGCGGGTGTTGTGGGAGCACTCGGCGGCCTGGATGGCCTTTGAGACCTTTGTGGCGCTGCAGTTGTAGCTCGAGGGACACTTGCCCTTGGTGTTGGAGGTGGCCGGGTCGAGGGTCGCGGCCACGAGGGCGGGGGCGAGGAGGAAGAGGGCGGAGAGCTGCATCTTGGGCGCTGAGTTTGGGAAAATGGTAGAACGAACGTGTTTGATTTTTGGTTGTTTAAACGAGAGTTATCCGAGTCCAGCCCAAGGAGTTGAGAATTGAAGCACGAATGAATGGTGGTGTTTGAGAATGGAGAGCAAGATCAAAAAGACTTTGTCGATGGAAAAGGGACAGTCGCGTCGAGTTCATACATATATTACTCGAAGTCGACCCATCCCTGGGGTTTGTTTCCCTTCATCTTGATCTGGTATCCTTCGTGGGTGGTAGCGTATGTCCAATGTAAATTGCTTCTGGGGCCCGCGTTTCGAACAAACGAACGCGTTACGAGCGCCTGGATGCCGGCCGGCCCCTGAGCGCGCGGCACACTCGTCCCGGCGGGGCGGGAAGCACCCCAGTCTCCCGCTCGGAATCAGGTTCTAGACCTTTTGGTCTTCTATTTCCATCAAACAAACCCCGTTGCCTCAATTCAAGAGGTCGTTCGACAGGCCATTTTGGGTGACGTTGAGAGCTTGTTCTATGCCAAGTCATCAACATGGGAGAACAAGAAAGGCTTGGCTCTCCTGAGTTTCTGCTGGCACCCCTTACCCATCATGCCAAATCCCCACACAATCTGACATTTCCCGCGGTGGATCCCGTGGCACTGCCTTGGCAGCTGCTGCGTGTCCGTTGTTGTTTTTTTGGTTTTTGTGACATGACAGACCTCCACTCATTCACATCTCATGTCTCTGAGAACTCAATATGAGAGTTCATCGGACGAACCAGCACATCAAGTAAATGGGCAACGATGCAGCCCGCCGTTCACATATGGGTACAAGAGGCCCCTCAGTTCCGTACTCGGGGCGAGACCTTTGGAAGCAGCTGACGTTTCATCCGGACAGCTGAGCTCAGCTCAGCCCAGAGCAAAGCCCAGGGGTTGAGGAAATTAAAGGCGATCAGTGGGGAACTCCCGCATCCTGCATTTCCAGCGCACGGCGAACGATGCCGTTCACTCACTCACCGAACGGGTGAACGCATCACTGTGGCTTAGACGAATTGTTATGTCAATTTACGAAGTACATCTGATGACGACGCTTTCTGAAAATTGGTAAACAGCAGGCTGATGCATGTCTGTGAGAGTTTATTGCTTAGGTCGAGTTGCGAGGGAAGAAGAAAATCTCGCCCAAAATGTGTCACCATGGGCACGGCGAGCGGCACGAGTGGGAGAAGTTTAGATGTTTCAAGCATAACGAAGCTCGAATGATTTCGATAGACCAGACTCGCGTGAGTCGCGACATTGCTAAACAATTTACATGCGACGCCTCCCGGAGCTTGGTACAGTAGATGAGAGAGAAGTGAGGCTTGCATGGCGTGTCAACTCAGGACGATCATCTTTGACCCTATGGGTACTTTCTCATTCTTCGCACGTCCTAATCCTCAACTTCTCGTTGGAATTACTCTCTCCCGCTTTGAAGCCATCTCTATGTGACTTTGGTCGATTCCATTGATGGCGCAAGCTCGAATAGGTAGAATGTTCATGAACAAGACTCATACTTGACATCGAATATTACTCGAACAGCCTTAGAGGCTCGCCGGGGATCAAACAGATGGCTTGGCATCACTTGGAAGCAGCTCAAAGCGCCAATGAGATGCGAGGTCGTCTTCGGGCATTTAAATGTCGCAAAGTGTGGGGTGTTGCAGCGAGCGGGCGCCTCAATCTGGGGTGGAAGGTGAGGATCCTCGGTGAGGATAACCTCATCAATCTTTTGGCTTAACCGCAACGTCGTCGACGTCTACTCAGACGTCAAGAACTATAACAACAATAGTCATCCAACTTTTATGTGATAAACATCTCCCAATTCCTTAACCCGACGAAATCCATGTGTCTCATCGCATATCAAGCACAACGTTACTCCCCTTCGCACCCCCAAAAAACAACCTCACATTCTCCCCGACAACCCTCCGAATATTCACCCTCGTCTGATCAGCGCACCACGCCAGATGCGGCGTCAGCGTCAGATTCAGACTCTTCGCCTCCTTCCCCAACAACACGCTGTCCCGCCCGCTCCCCGCCGGCTCAACCTCATAAACATCCGTTGCCGCCCCCGAGATCCTCCCCTCCCGCAACGCCGCCACTAGCGCCGCCTCGTTGACGGTCCCGCCCCGTCCGACGTTGATAATCACCGCGTCAGGCCTCATCGTCGCCATCTCGGCTTCGCCGACGAGGTTCTTGGTCTCTGCTGTGAGCGGGACGATGAGGAAGAGGGTTGTTGCGCGGCGGAGGACTTCCGCAAAGGGCGTGCGGTGTGTATCTCCGTTGCCGTTCGGCTGAGTGGCGGCCGCGGCGGCGGGCCCATTTTCGTTCCCGTTCCCGTTACCGTCCATAGCGGATCCGGCGGCATCGCTCTTCCTCGCAGCGACGAGAACTTCCATTCCCAGCGCTCGGCACATCTTGTCGACGCGCTGCCCTATGGGCCCGTAGCCGATCATCCCCACCACCTCGTTGCCGCAGGTATGCGGCGGGCGACCCTCGCTGTCGAGAAGGAGGGAGGACATGCTCCCCTTTGCGCGCCAGGGGTTCGGGCGGCCCTCGGCGTGGTCCATCATTGTGTTGTGGAGCGTCACGAAGCGTCTGCGGGATGAGAAGTACTGGATACCCGCATCCAAGGTCAGTGACGACTTTCATACTCCTTATAGTCGAGTGCTTGTGACTCTAACATCGGAGAACATTTCCTCCCTGGTGTCACCTTCTGTTGAGGCAACAGGGAGAGGGGAGACTTACCAAGCCGAGGGCATGCTCGGAAACGGCTTCGACTGTTGCGTTGGGCGAGTATATGACGGTCACGCCGCGGTGTTTGCACTCCTCCAGATCGATGTGATCCGTTCCCACTGTCTCAGTGATGATACACTTTCTGCGTCGCCTTGTCGTCAGTTGTTATTCTATTTCAAGCCAGCCATCTCGAGAGCCGGATCTAAGCAAGCTCGATGCAGGCAGATCGAAAACTCCTCAGCTCCAAACTGAAGAGAAGCTGCCCACCGATTCGAGCTCCTTGGCCTGGCAGTTAGAATCACTCGATCCTTCAACCGACAACTCGGTCCAGTCATCTGCCCATCTGCCCATCTGCTTCATCACTCTCAGAAGCAGAAGTCTCTTTCCCTTACCTCCCAGACCAGCCCTCCCATAACCCAGAGAAAAGACACCGCAATACTTACAAATACGGCGCCTCCCCGAGCGTCCTCTTATTGATAGGTACAGTCGTTGTAATGAGCACACTCGCAGGCCACGCCCTCGCCGCCGCGACAGCGCTCTCCGAGGGCCGGGTATACTCGTAGCCGATAACCTCGTGCGTCACGTTCTCTCCCAGGTCGCCATCATTGACCTCTGGAGGCGGCACGTGGATCGTCTCGAGCTTAACGATGACGTGGTGCGTGGCTGAGGGCAGGCGTGACTGCTTCTTAATTTCTGTTGCGAGGTCGGGCATTGTTGCGTTGATCGGCCTCTGGGTATGGCGAGGCGTCTTCTGGCTTTTTGCCCTTTGGGGACCTTGATGAGGACCCTGAGTAATGGTGAGTCTATAGAGATGTGAGATGATGGACGTTTAAGGGAGGGTCTTATGCCTACGGTTAATTAATGCCCTTCAGATGAACCCGTGTTAAGATCACGCGATAAACGTTGTCTTCACTCTCCAAAAGCCTAAAAAGGTCTCGTTCAAGAGTGACACAGAATCAGCCGTCTCAACTTTATACATGCAAGCCCGCAGCTGGAAAGTCAAAATCCCCCAACCTCAATCCCAAGAAACAGCGTTGATATAGGTATACTTACGTACTTACGTTATCTTATCAAACCTTCCAAAAAGCAAGAAAAAGAGCCTCAGGGGCCACGCACGTCCGGACATAACACACGCTCTGCTTGCTCCCCACGCTCCCTTCCAAAGTTCCAACCTCGCTAGTGCCGTGCTAATTGCTCCGCATTTTCCCTCTACCGGGAACGCGATAAGATCGGCACATCATGTATGACATGCCCGCGTTTGCTACTCGATGGAAGGGCGCGGTGTGGAGATGGCGGGCTTGTTTTTTGACATCCACACACACACACACACATAGATCCCAAGGTAAGCCCTCATACGAGGGGAGCCAGGAGAGTTCGCGAAGACACGCCTGGCAGGCAGACCGCGGAAGAAATTCCGTGCTTATCACGCGGCTTACTCACATACATGTCTGAGAGACCCTCACGGAAGGCGCTCGTCTTTATGTAACCACGTAGAATACTCGATCAATTTAACGAGCTCTGCTCAAGACATGCAGGTAATGACGGCATCATTTATCTCTTTTGGTAAGAGTTCTTGTTCTGTTCCTAACTTTAGACGGACCGTCCACGAAAGGCATTTCTTGCCTAGGACAGTAACGCTACTAATTTGTCCACCCACGTCCAAGTATCCCTACTCCCATCAAACTGCAAACCCTCGCGCAGCAAACCCATCATATACCTCAACATCCTACTTCCTAAACGTAGCGCTCCTCTCACCTCTCGGAGGCGGCGCCTTTCTCGCGCCCTTGAGCGGCTCGTCACCCGTCTTCGCGTACGGGTCAAACGTCGGCTTGACGTGCGTCTTGCCGCGGTTGCCCGTCCTGTTCGCATGGAGCACCGATGTGGCCTTGCTGTAGTCAAACGTCTCCTCCTCCTCACTGTCGCTAGAGTCCGCACCTTCAGCCTCCTGCTGCTCGGCCTTCTTCGCCTCCTTCGCGGCCTTCTTCGCGGCGCGCTTCTGTTCCTTCTTCGCCTTCTTCTCCGCCTCCTTTTGGGCCTTCTCGGCCTTCTTTGCCGCCTTCTTCTCTGTCTTGGACTTGCGGTTGTTGATAGCTGTCAGGTACCCTTGCAGTTTTCTTTGCTTCTCTGCGGCCGTCTGCTTCGCCTCCTCGAGTTCTACCGGTTCGGCCTTGTTCTTGGTGACTTCCTTCTCGAGGCGTTGTACTTCGGCTGCGGCCTTGTCGTAATCTTCTGTATACCGCGCCACCTTGTCTGCCCTCTTTGCAGCCACCTTTGCCTCACGCTCGCCAGACTCCGTCTTGCCGTTCTTCTTTGACTTCCTCTCGGATTCTGGCCGCTCCAGGACAATGTCAATGGAGCTCTCGCCGGACTCTGACTCGTTGTCGCTAGCATCAGAAGCGTCTGCTGCAGGGGCTTTCCGCTTCGTGCCAGCCTTGAGGGTGAATTCCTCCTCCACTTCAGGCTCCGCGGGTTGAGCGACCACAGCAGCCTTGGCTTCCGCCTCGACGCCTCCCTCCATGGCCACGTCTTCCTCGGGTGCAGCCACGATTGTTTTCGCATCCTGTACAAACTTCTGCCACGGGAGCATGACGTACTCTCCAAGACCATTGGCTACAGAGGCCGGCTGTTCCCAGGCCGAGCTCAGAGCCATGCGGCCGAACAGCTGAGACTCTGACAAGAGAGCAGGTTCCAGCGCCCCGTCGACCGCATCCTCGTTCGCAACCACCGCCAAAGGCTTAGCAGCGGCCCTTGGGAGCTCTGACTTGAAAAAGTCGAACAGACGCGGTTCGTCGATGCCCCGTTCCCGTGCCTCCTGGTAGCGCCTCCAAATCTCGGTGACGTTTTTCCGTGCGATGAAGGCGTGATTCGGTATCAGAGCATGTAGAGCCTTGGCATCGGGTGGCATGTGTTTTGCGATATCGCCAACGATACCGTTGGGCATAACGAAAGCGGTACTTTCGTCCTCTTTCCGTGCCACCTCGTCTCTCCACTCCCAAATGGCTCTGTACACAGCAAACTGCTGGCCCGAGAAGGGCATAGGGTGCTTCAGAAGGGTGTTATACCAGCCCTTGCTGCCCTTGCCAGATTTGGGGTCAAACACCTCACCACCATAGCGGCTCAGTGCGAGAGTTTTGGACTTCTGAAGCGTCATCTCGATGTAATCCGTGCTAGGGTTACCTCTATCTGACTTCATCACAAGCTCGTTACGCATCTTGTCGTAAATATAAAGCAGGAAGTGGGTATCGGAACGCGCGTAGTACAGCATCTCTTCTGAAAGGGGGCTATGCAGTGTCAGTATCTCAGAGAGGCCACTTCAGGGGTTTACTTACCGCACTCTCCAGTCAGCCAATTGATACTTCTTGTCGGCGTCAAAGTTGGCAAACTTCTTCAAAAGAAATGCCAAGCTCTTTTGAGGGTAGTGCAGCGCTTCGCATGCACTTCCAGTATCGAAGAGACCGTTGACGTACAGTCCAAGATCGCGCTGCAGCCACACCATGTCCATAAACGGGCCGTGGAAGACCTGGTTTTGTTAGTTGTGTTGAGAAAGCGTGAGTTAGCTAAGTAGTACTGACCTTGATGATGCTGGGGTCAGCAAAAACTTCGTTGAGTACCTGTAGCTGCTGTCTCCAGGGCTTCAGAGTATCTACAATCCAGTCCTGATCTCTTGTGCTAATCTGCATCAATGACGTGAGTCCGACGTATGTTCTGAAGTCGTGGTGTTCCAGGTCGACGGCGATTTCCTTGGCCTTCTTGAAGTCCTTCAGCATTTTCAGAACACCTTCGTATGTATCGACGTAGATGGCTTCCGTGCCTTCGACGGGCTGCCATGGAATCGGCTCGGCTTGTTCGTAGATATGGTCGGGGTATTTCGCCTCGAGGATTTCGGTTTCGTACGGATGCTTGTATCTAGACCTGCTGTCAGTATTCTCGAGTAACAGTGGCTTCTTTAGGCTCCTGCGCGAGTTGCTTGCGGCCTTGTATGCGGCCTGGTCGGACCTTGGCACTCTAGGAAATATCAACGGTAAGAAAGTTTGGTAGTCGTACTGGACAAATCCCTCTTCTGTTTCGCTAGTGATTAGGCTCTTCTCCAAAGGGACCGTAGCGTGAGGCTTCTTGGTAATGAGGGGCTTCCATTGAGCGTTATTGTCGACCGGCTGATCGAAGTGAAGTTGGGGCTTGGTGATGTTTGCACTGCGGACGACACCAGCCGTCTTGGGCTTCTTTGCTTGGGGGGCCTATGTAGCGTCAGTATATTCGTCTTCCGTGTGAATCATAGGCTGCACTTACGGCATCAGCAGCCGGCGCATCCTTCCTCTTCAAAGCTCCGGTGTACTCGTCAATAGAGGTGTCGGCCTTCTCCAAGACTGAGTCAACGACGTCCACGATGCTTCGCCAGCGCATGTCGACATCGTCGGCATCTTCGAGATCGGGCGCGTTGAGTCCACAGACTTCTGCAGCTGACTTGAGGAGGGCGGTCGAGAGCTCGAGAATCCGGGTGGTTTTGGCGTCGAGGTCGTCGCCGACGTTGGGGTTGACGGCGCGCTGAAAGGGGAGGTCCTCGGCGGAGACACGGTTGACCGACTTGACGGTAGCCACGAGCGCAGTCTGGACCTTGTCCTGGAGGGACTTGAAGTCCGGGGGAGACGTCATCGTATTGGCGCAGCGGGATTGAGGCTTGGTGGAGGCTGTCGCGGTTTCACTGCGAAGTTTGACGATCGAACAAAAAAAAAGAGCCCACCATGAAAGGCCCCCGGCCGATAAGATTGTAGTTGTTATCTAATCGATAAACAACACATGGATAAGCGGCTTGGATGCTTGGCGCCCTTGGAAGGTACCTTACCTCATGGAAGAGATACTCGTATTGAGATGGCGAGGTCGGTCTCATCCGACACGGACAGGGAGATTCAGGAAACCAGTATGGATGTTCGAACTTTGTGGGATTGAGAAGAAGTTGCAATTTGTCTCCGGAGAGAATGAAGCAGGCGAGTGTGAGGTGGACCGTGAAGGTGAGGGAGAACGCAAGAGCCTTCCACTTACAGCGGAAGCCGCTGACCTTAGGCACTCAGCCCCCCTGTGACGACTTTGCCTCCATTTCTAGCCGCAACCTGCAACTTCACCTCACAGTCCTCCGTGAGCTCCGTCAACAAAATACTATCCACCATGTCTGCGTCTTTAGCTCCCGAGTGCAATGAAGTCAAGGAGTGAGTTATCTTGAGAAGAGATCAATGAATTGGATGCTGACTCTGTTACAACAGGCGCTACGATACATGCTTCTTGAAATGGTACAGTGAAAGTGAGTTGGTTCCCTACATATGACATAGATGACGAAGAAGCCACCTAACGACAGGATGAAGAGTACCTAAGAGGCACCGGCACAGACAACAATGAATGCGCCGATCTTTTCAAGAACTACCAAAAGTGTTTGACGGTAGGTAAAGTCTCGGCGACGATAACAGTTCTCACAGCCAAGCTTGGGTGAGCGATGAGCAAGAGCACAAAGACTGACTGGCAGGTAGGTCGCTCTCAAGGAACGCGGCATAGACAAGCTGCTGGACGAGGCACGGGAAGACCAAAAAGACAACGATGCGACATACATGGGACGTAAATGTGAGTACTACTGCTGCTGCATGCCTACTTGCTGCAATGTGTCCATGAAGGGGAGAATCTGACCACTCGTGCAGGAGGCATTTCAATTCCGGACATTATATCTCGCAAGCTAGTTTTCTTTGGCGTTTTCAAGGTTGCATTTGTTGGGCACAATGTGGCAGTGTTTAGAGACGGCACTCTCCCAATATGATCTGTTCTTCCTGGCTTTTCCATGACGCGTCCGCGCGCCAGCTATTTCCATGGTGACTTGAATGTGGACACTACCTTAACGCCTAAGCTTGAATCTCTCCGAGAGAAGCTTCTGGGATGCAGACAACACGTGATACCTGAGGTACCTCACACAGAGGAGGAGTATCCGTGACGCGATCAAGACGGAAGAGGAAAAGAAAGGAATTCTGGATGGTTGTGCAAGTAAACGGTGTAACGTGGGTTCAATGCTGGACATGTGCCAATATTGAGATCACCGCCAAGTCTCCATCGACTTGATGCACGATCAAGGAGGTACCCAAATACACGTCGAACACGACAAGCCTCTTGTTTAAACATTGAGTTGAAGACATACAGAGCTAGGAAGCATGAGAGAGCTTGAACCAAATGTGAATAGGATTATTCGAGAATTATGTATCGAGTACGGAATAGGTACCTTGGAGTATCAGCCACGTGATCTTGTTAGATTTGCTGCCGTCGCGGCCAGATCGCGCCAGGCCACTTAAAAAAGAGCGAAAAACTAAAGCATGGGCCGGAGGTGGGCCAGTCCCAAAAAGCCAAGCTCAAGTTGGGTGGGGGCTCGTTCCAGGTTCCAGACCGCCCACATCCCCGTCAGACCCTCTGACTGCGTCCCGCGGGTCAGCAATGGAACTCCTGCAGACCACTGGACCTCGCCCAAAACTGGAAGAATATCCAGATCTCCCGTCTCCTTTAGTGGACGCGAGACCCCCGCTAGCGAGACATTTCGCTAGCGGCAGAGCAACCTGGGAGGCTGGAAGGCGTATGGACGGCACACTGCAGAGAAGCCAACAGGGACTAACTACCCAAGACGTCAGGACATCAGGTTCCATTCTCTACTACGGAGTACTGAGTACCTTCAAGGTTATGTACGAAGTACTCCGTAGACTCTAGGTACCTCCAGCCAAAGTTGCCCAAACCTCTTGTATCCCCCCCCCCCCCGTCCCGTCCATCCAAGAATTACATTGCAAATTCCCAGATTTGCCGCATCCCTCCGCGCGCGCGAAGCTTGTCCCTGGTTCTCACCAGTCCCGACTTGTCTTGTGCGGCGTGCCCTTCCAAGGTCCGCGTCCAGCATCCGCACTCCGTCCAAACTGCAGAGACTTGACAGTATCCACGCCCACATCCCTCCACGAATCCACGTCCCTTCTTCTCCTCCCCTCCAGAACATCTTTGCGCAAAGCAACACGACACCAACTGCAGTGCTACATCAACAGACTCGAATCATCGCACCAACTCACTCCTCGCCAGGCCCTCGTCCTCCTCCAAAGCTCCCCAAGACACGTCGAATCAAGCTTGCGACCGACCCCACGATCCTTTCCAAGCTTCCACCCCCCTCTACCCCCCGCGCTTGTCCCGCAAGCACCGCCGCCGAGTCCGCAGTCCGACGCTCAACCTAGGTCCCTTCCGCCACGACGCACCGGCACCTCTCCTTGGCGACAAGCCTCGGCATGCACTGTTTATTGGAATAGCGATTCTATGCACCCCCTCTCGGTTCTCAGCCTTGGGATCTTCGTAGCTGGCTACATTACCGCTCGATGGGATCTGGTCACACGTCTCTATGAGCTTGCCATATTCGCCTGGGACTACGGAGTTATTGTATGATGATCCTCCTTCGGGCTCAGCTGCCTTGCGCCGCCTGGCTTCTAACCCTATCATACATATCTAGACACGCGCCGCCAAAGGTTTCGCGCTCTTAACCTTCGTCTACCTCATCATCTTCATCCCCGTGGAACGATTGGCCACCAAGGAGGCGAACCTGGTACGACAAAACCATTCGATCCCCCCCGCTGAGACATGTCTGGTTGCGCAACTGGGAGAGGCATCTGGCTAATGACGGACTCGACACAGCACCCCCGATCCACCGGAGCTGGCGTCTCGGCCAGGGAACAGTTGCGACGGAGAGGCTCCTTTTGAGCGCCGTCTCCCGCGCTGCCCTCGGCTGACATGCCAGAAAATGACGGTTTAATGAGGATATTCTGGCCGACGGACATCCAGCGCTCCGACCTGCCCGGTGTCGTCGTGGGATGGAGGAACTCGAGCCTGGATGTCTTCGTCGTGGCCATTCTTGACGATGTCGATGTCAGCAACCCCCTAGCCCAGCAGCTCTTTCACCAATTGACCAACCCGCAGGCCGGCCATGTCGAATTCGCCCTCAAGATCGGCACTCTCTTTCGAAACTCCCCTCACCCCGTCAATAGCATCTACGAACGATGCGGCCACAATGCGATGCACGTTCTCGGCCTGACGAACCCCAGCGAAGCCGTCGTACTCGATCCCTCCCTCTTCATAGCGACCACACCAGCAGGCGCAAAGTCCCCTCGAATCGCGTGCGCAAAGGCCCTCAGCATACAAATCATACTCTACGACCGACCGCGCCCTAGCAGAATGCAGTACATCTCGCTGAACCCTATCTCGCTCGCGCTTGGAAATAAGGAGGCCCCTGGCCTACCACCGACAGAACATATGGCTGAAGAGGAGAGGCAGGAGCTGAAGGTGAAGGAGGAAAGGAGAAAATTGGTGGAAAAGCTGAAACAACACACCATCATCAAGCGGTCTCCGTCGCCAAAGGAGAGAGCTCTGCCAAAAATTGTGAACCAAATCAACTGGTCGTGGGAGCTGGAGCAGCTGTTGCAGAAGAATATCTCCCGGGTCGGCACCAGACCCAAGCGATCCCTCAGCGTCTCGGAGCGAGTGGTGGAGCATGCGACGTCGATGCGGAATTTCGTCTGGGATCTCTTGATATTCTACCTACTTCCGCTGATACAGTGGGGGTTTGTGTACATGCTCATGGGTCACAGGGCGGTCGCCGAGTTACTGCTTCAAATTTTGGAATTCCGACTCAAGGACGATTACCTAGCTTTGAAGGACATATCGGCAACGGCGCAACAAGTAGAGATCCGGCTGCAGCAATTTTGCTACTGGCCCATGCAGTACACCACTTTGCGACAGCGTAAGAATGACTGGGAGAGCGTCACAACCAGTCATCCTGACTACATACGGTTTTACAATAGCCTATGGCTCGTCGCCAACGATGTCATCATTGGTATCGCGTTGGGCTCCTACATCATTGACAACGCGGAATGGGCCGCCAATGCAATCAGCGAGCTTTTGAGGGTGTATACGGTCGAGGCGCTTCAACGGAGTATATCATGGTTAATGGGATGGCCTGCAGGCTTGAAGCTGAATAGCGAGCTGGCCCTCTTTCTAGGAGACCTATTTCTCTGGGTCATTGACTACTGGTCAAGTGAGTTTGCCATTGCCCAGAATTTCAAGGAGTGGAAGATGACTGACTCGAGCAGACTGCATCGTGACGCTTCAGCCGGTATTGCCTCACATTATCTGGTTCATCGGCTTTTCCAGCTTCGCCGGCGCCAGCATGCCCATTGCCATGTTCTCCGACCTGCTCTCCAGCTTGACCGTCCACATTTACTCATTTTACCTGGCATCCGCCCGGATCTACCACTGGCAGCTCACAATACTCATCTCGCTCTTTCACCTCTTCCGTGGCAAGAAGCACAACGTCCTCCGCAACCGTATCGACTCGTGCGACTACGACCTTGACCAGCTGCTCGTGGGCACCATCCTCTTCACTCTGCTCTTCTTCCTCCTTCCGACAGTGGTGGTGTTCTACCTGAACTTTGCCGTCGCACGAATGGTCATCATTTCGCTAAAGGCTGTTTTTGATACACTTCTCTCTTGTCTAAACCATTTTCCCCTTTTTGCGCTGATGTTGAGGGTCAAGGACCCGAGACGACTACCAGGTGAATATCAACTGCAGACCAATGATAAGACCCTTGCTAACCTAAGGCAGGCGGCATCCGTTTTGAACTTCGAGATACCCTTGACTATAGACTTAATAATACTTCCAACGAGCCACCGACCTCCGTCATCTACCTCAAGGTATGTCGTTCTCACACCCCACTCCCTTGCGGTCACGATTCTCTGTACAACTTCGGTTCTAACCGCCCACCAGTCCATCCCCCTCACCTTCCGCGCCATGTTCCACCAGTACTTCCAGATGGGCAACCGCATCCGCAAGCACTACCTCTCGCCCACGGTCGTCCTCTGCCTAGTGACGGGCAAGTTCGTTCCGCCGCTCAACCGCAAGAATCTGTACAGCCTACAGTACAGCATGCTCCCCGCGCGCCGCGCGAGTTTCCGCCAGATGTGGGATGCCATCACGACGGTGCAGCCTAGTAGGAAGCCCGTGCCATTTGTGATGAATGGCAAGAGGTATCCCACGGGGATTGGGGGCGGGGGGAGGACGAGGTATCATCACTAGAAATGAAGTTTTACGTTTATTTTTCTGCAAAATGTCGTGTAGTGGAATTATCGCATTCGTCTCTCGTGATGTGTGTACCGTCGATTGCCGTTCCTATAGCTCTGACCTCAGCCCTCGCATCATCTAATCTTCATCAATCCCCCAGTAACCCACGAATCCTCCCCAAACCCAAACATGTAACTCAACCGCAAATTATCATCGCGGTCCTCTTCTTCATCGTCATCCCCGCCATACCCCAGACACTCCATCCCGGTCCCCCAATCTGGCGCTACCACAAGCTCCCGAAGACCATACTTCTCACTTACTTTGAAAGGGTGGCCATTCCACAGGCCAAAGAGAAGATCGTCGCAGATTGCGACGCGGGCTTGGTCTGGGCTGAGGGTTGATGGGGATGGGACGTAGCGTGTCAAGATTTGGGATGTGGTGAAGAGGGCAGTGTGGGTTAAGGGTTGAGACTGATTTTAGTCTCGGTTTTGATCATGGCTAGGCCTCAAGGTAAGTGAGGATGGCTATCTGCAAGCCGAGGGTTAAGAAGGGGGTAGGAGCAGGACGAGAAGGTTCTTTGGTTTGGCGGTTAGTTAGGTTTGTGTAGATTAAGGGGAGTGTGAGGTGCCATTTTTGGGGGGGAAGGTTTGCTCCTTTTTACGGTCTTGTCAACGGGTTCGGGGACTTGACGGGCCAGATCGATGGGTGTAGGGAACTTGCAGAGGCTGCTGAAGTTGAGGAAACTTGGAGCCGTCATCTTGGTGTTTATCCTCGAGATAAACTATGAACTCGGTTTAAGCCCTTATCTTACCATTTGACAAGGCGGGGGTCAGGAGTAGATGGTGTTGTGACGATCAAAAGATGACGATTAGGTACAGAGATGTAGGGCGCTCGGGGAACACAGGCAGGTGTTGCTGTCATGGTGTATCGTTTGACTGCAACGGGGTTGGGCCGTGATAGCGACGAGAGCCCAAGGCAAGAGTCCCAGCTGGGGGTTCGTCTTCTTTCACTAGACAGCATAGTCTCATACTGTATAGTATTTACTCATGGGAACATTGAAGAAGCTTCTTGGGTGTGGTTGTGATTCTTGGCTGAGATAGTACTCGTGATGTCCATTAGTGTCTGGCTGGCATGCCTGGGACTCGGGGCTGGCGTGGCATTTGTGTATTCACGAGGCTGATAATTACATTTAGCAGTGCAAGACTGCTCTCGTGGCGCCACTATCGTGTAGATGTACTAAGAACTCGTGACCTTATTGTCATCAATATCGTGTCGATTTAACTGACGCCTCTAGCTCGCCTAGGTTAAATCATAGTAAGATCGCAGTCGTGAGCTTTTCAAAGGCATCTGAGCCCCCCTTTACCCTACGGTTTAGTGACCAATAAAATGAGGGAGGACTGGAGGGGCAGATCGGGCTGATCCTTGTCCGAAGAGTGAATATGGAACTCCTACAGAATTTGACGTACCCAATCTCCTATCAGAGATACGGTATGCAGTAGAGCGTACCTACCGTCTCTCTCAGCACTTGAACCGTATTCGGCATTATACATGCCTCCATGGTTGAAAGATGATAATTGGGCGATACATAGTATTAATTGATGAAGCTTGGTAAGTCATGGCCATCCAGGGATAGTACATAATAAGGGGTGAGTCGATGCGTAGAGGAACAGACATGACTATCAGGTGTGTACACCCGTAACAGAGGCCTCACGCTGTCCTGAAAGGAAGCATCAAGCGCACGTGTTTTGCCTGTGTCCTTCTGGTTGAAATGAAGTCATTTTCCCCGATTGTGTTTATGTAGTAGCGAAATGATACTGATTTCTGAAGAGATTAGAGGCGTTATGTCTTAGAGTAAGCAGTTCAAGCCACAGAAAATCTTGAGAGGAAAGACCTGTCGGGTAGACGAATGATTGTCAAGGTCAAGCTATTACTCAGTCTGATTTCAATGTGTTATCGTCTGGTATTTTAGGTAGCTCAGCTTTCAGAGCCATCTCTGGAGAGCCTATTGCAGAGTTCCCATGTCATCCAACCGGCGCAGGCAGAGATGGCTAGATAAATGCTTCTAGGGGGCCGGACCTATTCTCAAGCATGACCAAAGTACCTTGCCAAATGGTAATTAACCCGTCCGGGTATGGGAAGAAATGGTGGTGATCATGAACCGCCTCACCCTTCAGGCAAGAGGCTGGAAGAGTTTGGATGAAAAGGAACCACCAAGTGCCCCCGTACCTTCTTCCCTATGGTCCCATGAGACGGGAAAGAAGGCCCTCAAGGTGCCCCTCCTACCTTCCACACCTGGCCCCCTTTCCATCTGAACTCCCGGGAAGGGTATATACCCCCCTCTGGATCCCGATTCTGTCACCAGCACAGCAGGCGCCCTCTAGGTCGGGGGTCAGGTCAAACTGTGGCGTGGATGGTGGAATGGTTAATGGCCCAACAATCAATTGTTCACACCAACCAGCCTACTCGATGACAGGCTCAGCGCATACGAGAGTACCCGAGTTCGAATCCCGGCATGAGCACCAAGAGATGTAGCCTCTATTCGCCACCGGGGGGGTGAACTCTTTTTGGTTTGTAGTGATAATTTGTGTAACTGCTGGTTATAAGTCTTTGCGATTAAGATAGAGGTCTTGTATAGAAAGTATACGATTGATTTCTCAGGTAAGACCATGGCAACATTACTCGGAGTGTTTTGATCAAGATTGTTCTGCATACGTATATGCATGTGAAAAACGGTAGCAAGAATACAACATTGCCCATGGATAGAAATCCTGCTCCCTTCGGCCTCTGCTCAGAAATGATCTGCGTTGGAGTCAACTTACACAGTAGGCAGACTACGACATCGAATGATTAGCCTGCCTGACCTAATCTGACATGCAGCCAAGATGGCGCCTATTTACACTTGCTCACTCAAAGCTCATAACACTCTCATGATATCGAGAAACACTTCGGAAACAAGATTCTCGTAAGGAATCTACCGGAATATCGAGGAGGAGCTACGCTACAGCCATCATGGCAGATTGGCACGACCCATCATGCCGCCGCCTAGACGTCTTTACCAGCAGCGGCATCTCCAACTGCCTCAGCTGCGGCTCCGTCCAACTCGACGTCGAACCAACACCACCAGAAACACAAGACAGAAACACAACAGACGCCGCCGTCTATAAGCCTCTAGAATCCCAAACAGACATCCGCCTCCTCACCCTAGAATCAGGCGACTTCACCGACCCCATCAGATGTACCCTCGGCCAAAGCAGCACCTCCACCATGATAGACTACGACGCAATCTCATACACCTGGGCAAGCGAGAACGGCACCATGGCCTGGACGCAGCGCATCACCCTCGACAGCCGCGCCTTCCTCGTCACAGCCAACTGCGAGATGGCGTTGCGGCGCGCAGAGGATCGTCTGGATCGACGCAGTCTGTATGAACCAGCAGGACGTCGAGGAGAGGGGTCACCAGGTGCGCCTGATGTCGCAGATCTACTCCCGCGCGCAGCGCGTCCTGGTCTATATCGGGCAACCCGTCCCCGAAGAGGAGGGGCTCTTCCGCTTCTTGGATGATCCGGACTTGGTCCGCGACTGGGAAGGGAGCCGGGCGTTGCCCCGGCTGGCGCTTCAGCAGGCGTTGGAGACGCTGCTTACACGGCGGTACTTCTCGCGGGCCTGGATCCTTCAAAAGGTGGCGCTGGCCAGGCGGGTGACGTTGATCTGCGGGAGGTACGAGGTGCCTTGGTCTCAGCTCCAGATCCCCTCGCTGGCGGATCGGGGCTTGCTCATCAACACGAAGGAGAAGCCGCGGCTGTTGAACGTACTGCAGCTGCCGTCGGTCCTCCAGTTTCGAGCGCCGGCGTATAGAAACTCGAGTGACCTGCTCCGACTCCTGGACCTGGCGCGTAATAGCCACGCGTCGGATCCCAGAGACAAGCTGTTTGTCGTGTATGGGCTTACATCTTGCACGCAGAGCGATGGCATCATGGCGGACTATACGATGTCTGCCAGAGAGGCGTATATGCGGATGGCCAAGTGGATTGCGCAAAAGTTTGGGATTCCGGCGTTACTGCTCAGCTGGTTCCACGTCGGCAAGGATAGCGATAAAGCCGATAAAATGGATGAAACGGTCGAGGAGAAGCCCGTTAATTTCAAAATCCCTTCATGGACGTCAAATTGGATGCATAAACCCTGCCCGAAAGTGTTGCCATTGCTTACAGAGATGTACGACGAGTCGGCAGCGGGATTCAACCCAGTCGGCCTCCCGGTCAGTCGTAAGTTGGTTGACGACTCGTTGGGGTTCCCAGCATTAAGCTGGGAAAGCTCCGTGTTGAATGAGTACGACGCGCAGGCAAGGACAAGTCTACCAGGAGCAATCATTGCAGCTAAGTCATGGCCGTATACGGAATCCAATGTGTCGGACCGGGGGAAAGATAGGTACTGCGAACAGACAGCATTCGTTTTCTGGCAACAAGATCCAACGAACTTCCAGGAGCATCTAACTACTGGCAGCTCCAGTATCCCGACGTTGAACAGCTGTATGCCAAAACTCCGAGCATCAAGGTCACAGCTCACGATGCGGTACAGTCAAAAGAGTACCAAGAGCTTCACATATATCTAGTCCGCCAAGCAGACGAATACGGTGAGTTTTCATTCGAGGAGCCGAGTCCCCTGTCGGTTTGCGTTGACAACTAATCGTGCACGTGGATTCACGATGGTCCCGAGAGACGGGAGACTGTGGGCCGGTTCAGCAAGTACGCAATCTGTGCGAGAGATCTAGGTCGTGAGGATATCTGCGTCGCCTTATTGTACATGGACGGGCTCGTTCATGAAAGGCATTTGGAAGAGCGGCCGTTTCGAAAATGTGAGCATCGTTGGCGAAGACCTCGGTGCTTTCCCTGCCTTAGATGACGGGCCCAGGTGCGCAGCGTATTATTGGGGGCTTCACAATCTCTGAGTCGAGGGATTCGTCAGAGGTACCGAGCAGATAGAAGCGTTCGATGCCGTAGAAGTGAGGTTCAAAGTACACCATCGTCATTTCTGTTGGAATGAAAGAACGTGACTCGACGGAAGTTATCGGGGGTTCGAAAGCCGCCAATTCGCAAAAGGGAGTAGTAGCAATTGTCGCCGTAATAGGTCGAATCGGGAAAGGAGCTTGGGCCAGCCGTAAAGAGCTCTGGAATCTGGACAGTCGCGGTGACGCCAACCGAAATGACGGATTGAAAAATTTTTCCTCTTTGTTGAACGCCTTGACAGCCTCGCTCGGACGGTTCTTTGGATCGGAGGCTGCAATGGCAAACGAGGTCGATGCAGTGATGCCTGGGGTTTCGCTTCGGAGCAAAAGGGGCTCGCTCCTAAGGGGGGAATAAATGATTAATCGCCAAGTATTCGTATGCGCGTCGAGCTTCGTGTCTGGGTATATTCCGAATGGCTGGTACGAGGTAGGGGAGCCTAGGTTTTGCGTGAGGAATGGAACGTCGTAGCGAATCTAGCGAATTACTAGAAGCCTTCCAAATGCAACTCATTCCCGGCCGAAAGTCGAGCTCCTTCCTTCGGGCAAATGTAATTCTTCGGGGTCGCCTGCAGTTTCCTCCTTGTCGCGCTCGGTGGTTATTTCCGCGGTTGCTTCCAGTGTTCCAACTCAATCCAATCCCGGAAGGGACCCCCGGGACTTGCAGATGTGCAGTGTGGCAGGTGTGCGTGCAACCACTTGGGCATGTGGCGTCTCAAGTCGATCCCGTTCCTGCCCGTTCATCGATTCTCGGCGCGCTGGGCGGCATCGGGTGTTTCGGTTGATGATGCAGCCACCGCGGAATAAGCATGGAAGCATGAGCCTAAGGCGACGACATGCCGCCAGACGGCGTCTACCTAACTCAGGCCGGCAGAGACATGGAAAGAGACGGGAAGGGAATAGCCATGGCAGAAACTGCCGGCAAGACAGGAAGGAGAGAAGGAAGAAAGAGACTAGACTTCTAGGACAATGAAAAGGAAGGAATGACAGAACGAATAGCCCTAGCTACCTTATTGCTCTAGCAAGGGAAGATACGGAGTAGGGTAAGAACCTATACGTATCTGTACTTGCCTGAGGTGAAGAACCTCTGGACTCTCGTGACCTTGAAGGGAAGAAAGGACTATTTGGGTCTTTTTTGGCTTCACGGTCATCTGTCCCGTTATCGCACCATGACACCGTCAGCTTCCATCATCCATCATCCCGATACCACCCTCATTGAGCAATCAATTGACGACACCTGACCCAGGGGCTCAACAATCTTCCGCGTCTTATCAGTCCGCATCATCAAAGATGGTTGATACAAGCAAACATCATTGCTTTTTTGTCGAGACCTCCAATTTCAGATACGATGGGAATGTCAGACTCGGACGCATGATTCAGAAGCACAAGCTCTAGCTCAACCACCACTGGCTTCCAGGCCCTGGACTACACCATTGGCATTGACGCAGAAGACGCACACCCTGACAGAGACAGAGACAACAATGATGCGTCATTTTTGAGGCTCTGTAGCCTCAGGCATGCATCGAGAGACAATAGTAGCGAAGCGGAATGGTGAGCGCCAACGGTGCGTTTCGGCGTTTCTTCTCCCTCAAAGCTTGCGCTTGCACTAGCAACAGCAGCTTGGCTAGGAGTAAGAATTTTTTCCCGGCGTCGGCCTCACCCCCCAATGGTAGGATGGCGGTACCTCACAGCCTGATCCTAGACGCTCCACGGGTGAAGCTCAACCGTAATAGGTACCTCGACCTCCGAGACATGGCGGACCCACGCATCATTTCGAGCGACCTGCGTATCGCGTACCGACAGCTGGGATTGACAAACGCTAGATTTACGTTTGACGCTGAATCAATCTCGCAGATACTCCTTTTGTGGATCCCGACATTACGGTTACGGCGTTGCGGTCGCACCCATCTCGGCCATCTCAGACACTGGAACCTCGGACGTCGGCTCAATGGAGCGACCCTACCTCCCATTGGCAGACGAATCGCCACGTCCGTCGGTCATCGGTAGGGCCAAGCTGTCCAGCAACGAGAAAACTGCAGCGTCCATCGGAGCGCTGCCAGTGGACGCCAGCACGCCAGCCAGGTTTCTGGGTGCTGCCGGGATCTCACGTAACACTCGTCTACTTACAGTCGGGGGTGTATAGGGAAGGGGTGTGTGTGCAGCCAGACGGCAAGCGTCCCTGACAGGAAACCGGGCTGGCCAAGGCATGCGTGCGTGCTTCGATTGACTTCATCCCATCTTCGCAGATGGTTGGCGGCGGCATCGACTCGAACGAAAAAACGAAAAGTTTGATAAGGAGATGGGAAGAGCAGTGGAAGAAAGAAAGCGAAGAGCGGTTGGGAAGTGAAGGGAGGGAGCACGACATGAAATGCAAATCGACGCAAGCGACAAAACGGAGGGAGGCCTTGAACTAACTCATTATCGCTCCTTCAAACCATGATGCGTCTCACCGCGTCCCTTTTTATCTCTGGGACCAACGTTCCAACTCGGTCATCGTGTCCACTTTCTTTCTGGCGTTGACGCTTTTTTTCTTGAGCTATTTTGTCGGGTCCACCCACGTGCAAGTGCAAGGCTGCGGCTGATTGGACCCAGGTGCCTCAGAGTGGGGGCATTTGACGGTATCGGGTGGGGGTCACCGCAAGCCATGACCGGGCTGATATCAAAGCTGACATTTGGCGGTTTTTTTTGCTCACTCTCTTTGCGCTGTGTGCCTGAGGGAATCTTTCTGGAGAGAGAAAATTTTCCTTCGCCATGGGAATCCCACCCACGCTCAACCCGTGTGTTTCCGGCACCAATACGGACAACGAATACCTTCTTATCTCGAAAGCTTCAGTGAGCTTGGTCTCCGTCAAGCCAAGGTGCTTGGGGCATAGACATTGCGTGCTTATGCCGTCTCAAAGACTGAGTGAGCAAACGCTGGACCTACATGTTGATTATCGATTAGCCGGTCGTAACGGACTCAACCTTGCGGGTTCTTCTTAGCCTTGATACAGCAACCCACTTCTCATGATTCGTGTTCCTGGCCAAGGGGGCATATCCAGCAAGTACAAACGCCTCAGGCACGGTCAAAGGCCCCAAGATCAACTATCTCTCAGGCTCTCCCTCTCCCCGTCCAGGGATTCCCTACGCCGTCCAGCCTCCCGACAATGCCCGAGATCGGTGCGAGGGCGTGTGTGTTGGATCTCCTTGGTGGATGGAGGTCCACGATATGTCAATGACCGCTCATGTCTAAACCTGATTGGGACGCCTCGTTCATGGCGAATCCGTCCCCAGCGCCGGGCCCACCGAGAAGGAGGGAAGGACGGATAGACGTGTCTAGTGAATACACAAACGGTACGGATGCTCACCAGTTTCTGCCGTCTCCTGTTTGATCCGATCCCACACATCCTGAAGAAGCCTCAGGCTCATCATCTCCAGCGTGGAACCTGAGGCCTGGCTGGCGAGCCATCTGGATCAACTTCCGCCGTCCCGTTGCCCGGGCCCCTGCCCTCTCCTCTCTACCGAGCTTGCCCGTCACCTGAGCGAGAGCTTTTCCCTTCCGAACCTGCTTTTGAGCTTTTTCTCTCTCCTCCTTCTTCCTTCCACTTTACCTACCTCCATCCCAATCTGTCCTTGTTTCCTATCTTCTCTTCCTCCCAGTCCATCACCGTCTATCCCACAATCTCCCCTCACATCAGTCACAATGGCCTCCACTCGTGTCCTCGCCTCCAGACTCGCCACTCAGATGGCCACCAAGGCCGCCCGCCCTGCGGTGCGCGTCTCTGCCATGCCCAAGCGCACCATCACTGGTAAGTCTTCAAAAAATATTACTCGAACGGAGACGAAGGGAGGAAACGGGAAAGGCATCGAACAAGAAAGAAAAAAAGACCGACGCCGACATCGAAGCCAATGAACAATCACATCAATTGGCCTCGCGGCACCGATCCGATATCAACAATGTGTTCGATATCGTCGCCTTCCCCTCTCCCCGTCGAGAAAACAAGAAAGATATGAGAGAACCACGATTGTTCTGACATTCGATTTGCGAAATTTTCAGGCTTCTCCAGCCCCCTCCAGGCTGTCAAGCGCCAGCAGGCCACCACCATCAAGTCCTCCAAGGTCTTCACCCAGGTCCAGGCCAAGCGCGCCTACTCTTCTGAGATCGCCCAGGCCATGGTCGAGGTCTCCAAGAACTTGGGTATGGGTTCCGCCGCCATCGGTCTTACCGGTGCTGGTATCGGTATCGGTCTGGTCTTCGCCGCCCTCCTCAACGGTGTTGCCCGCAACCCTGCCCTCCGTGGCCAGCTCTTCTCCTACGCCATTCTTGGCTTCGCTTTCGTCGAGGCCATCGGTCTTTTCGACCTCATGGTTGCCCTCATGGCCAAGTTCGTACGTCATCACCAATTCACACCCATCTCATTGGGATTCATCAAAACTAACAACCACGACAGACGTAAGCGATTTATTTCGCACTGGCGAGCTGGGGAGAGGCAAGGAGACAGCTTTCGGACGGAGCTATGCTCTCTTGACCGCCATCTCCTTTTGGGACAGGTTCGCCTATGGTCACGCAATGGAGCATCATCCACTCCACACTGCGTGACAAGCTAGAGTTAATAGACGGGATAGACAGCATGGTGGGCATTTTAGACGATTAGAGGTCATAGACCGCACGGCTCTGCTGTGTTGTATAGATGGAAATTGGTCTGTGGCAGGGACGAGGTAACGCACTACTCTTACCAGCGAAAAAGTTTTGCATCTCCCCATCTTTTGCTTCAGCCAGCCTACCCCCGTGGCTCCTGGCCCTGATACAATTTTTTCTGTAAAAATACTACAAACCTCAAACTCATGATCACCGACTTTGATGACTTTCGTGAGGCAATTGATGAAAATCTGAGCATCGGGCATGAGATTGTGAGATTGGGTCAAAATTCTCCGTCACTCCTAGTCACAGTGCCCCGGCAACCATCAAAACCTCACCGCGCGAGAACTTTCGTCCAGGCACCTCATCTCCACTCTGGGGAAGGGACCAGTCTGCCAGAGCTTGAAGCGTCCGAGATCTTTCGAGGTCGAATTGGCCAATGTGAAGTGAGAATTGACTGAGCTTCACTCGAGCTACCTAGGCACCACGGTAGGTTTTTGCGGGTGTCTCCCGTGCCTGGCGGCGGGAAGCCAGCATCCATCCCCACGGGGTTTCTCGCACACGAGCAATCACGCACCATGCCATGCCTATCCTTCCTGCCCTGCGCCTCTCCTCTCACTTATCAATCTGCTGGCTCGTTCACCACTAGGTTCACTTCAGTGACTTCACTTTCGCTCCATTGATGCGGAGCAGACATCGCCCGTTTGATTCCCTCCGTGATCCATTCTGAGGCTGCTGCCGTAGAAGAAGACGATGATGATGATGATGATGCCACACGGGAAGACGAGGCACTACCCGCCGGAGACACGCCTCTTGAGATGCCAATTGAAGAGCCGAACCGACGACCATTGTCGCTTCTCATCACTCCGCTTCTCACTCGAGCGTGGTACTCGCGCAGTCTGAACCGTAAACCAAGGCCACTGTTCCCAAGCAAACTACCATTGACGCTGCCAACGATAGTTTGGTCCTCCAGACTCCCTTGGCCTAGCCCGGAAGAAAAATTCTCGGTTTCCGAGTGCTCCGCTCGACCTCGACGTATGTCCTTATCGTCGAAGCTTGGCTCCGAGTCGTGCGTCCGACAGCGCTGTAATCCGTACCAAGAGAGTTGAACCGTCGCGGAGACTCACACACCCCCTCGGCTCTCTCTCACACACACCTGTCCTTTCTGGACGACGAACGGCCGTTCGTTCTGGTAGCCTTTCGCCCCCACTTCCACCCCTTCAAACCGCGACGAAAACTTTCGCCGTCGTAAGCTTGACCAAGCTTGAGCTTTGAAGTAAAAAGCTTCAGGAAAGCCAAATGATAAAAGTCCAGACGAAATCAGATAACGCATGTGAACGCCATTGAACCGGCAGTGAGAATCTCCAGCCTCGCAATTGACTTTTTTTCTTTCTCTCCTGTCCTCTTCAGATCAATCCCTTCACTCTGAGCATGTGCTTCCCTCTCGATCTCGATCATATCTCCGAGGTCACGGGTGGCCAAAAAAGGCCCTGCATAGTCTCTCTCCCACTTGGGAAACGAGGCAAGCGCGAATAACCACCGTTTCATCAAGCAGAACAAAAAGGAAAGAAAATGTACTCCGTATACTTCGTCTTTTGCTGCTCTTATCGTGGGTACCTCTTTCGTGCGCGTGTTCCCACCCCCTTCCCCCTTCTTCCCCCGAACCACCATCATCAACCGCGCCCCCGTCTTCTCTTACCCCTTGAGGGATCAGCTTTGCGGGTCCCCCAACGTAAAGGTTTCGACGGTCAGGCGCTGCGGGATTGGATTCGAACTTGCCAAAGGGCTCCACAGAACGGTAATGGCATCATGGATCTTCTTATCCCATCCACCCGCTCTCGTCACCGTTTCCTACTTATCCACCGTATTTGGCGAGGTTAGCGGACCTTCGTGGTCGGATGTATCGTGATGGTGCGTTAATTTTTGGTTTCGCAGCCTTCGCACCACCCGACGTTGATTTTGAGATGGGATGTCGTTGGAGAGATTAAGTAATCCTTCCACCCTTCTATTTTTTTCTATTTATGACGGTCCCGGCTGTAGGGTAATGGCAGGTTTCCCCTCACGCGAACCTCGTTCGATTTTTTTGAGACCTGGGCTCATTTTTTTTCGCGGCTGGTGCTGGTCTTCTCCAATTCGGAGAACCGAGGGCGTGGGCGTGGGAAGCGCAAACTGGCGAGTGCAACGGCGTCTCGCAGAGCCGAAGTGCTGCAGCAGCAAGCGAGTGTGCAGAAAAACAAGGCAATTGGTACCTGATGAGTCGACCCACTCTTTGCCTTTTATGGATGGAACGGAATGGACTGAACGTGGGGGGACGGGGACGACGTCTGTTCCTCGGCTCCTAGAAGCTTGGGGAGGTTGTTGACGGGATGTGGTTTATGTCGATGAAATGACTTTCAGCGGTACTGAAGTATAAGAAGCAAAATTGAAGTAGGAGGCCGTCTCTTGAATACGTAATAAGAATTTGAAAGATCTGGTATCAAATTGTTGGGAGGGGGTGTTCACGGGACAGCCACGGCCAACCTCGAGGGAAATTTGGAAAACGTGTGGAATACTACCAACGTGTTAATCAGGACACGACTAAGACGCCATGAAGACCAGTGGCTAAACCCACTGGGAGACAGTAACGGTTCGTCCTCTTTCACGCTGTTGCCCACCAGAAAACGGAATTTCGAGGTTGTCGTATCGAAGGCCCCCGCCCCCCATGGGGAAGAAGGTCCCGCAACTTCACTCAGTTGATGTGGATGCCCCTGCTAGGGACTTAGCTTATCAGTCATCGAGCCCTGTGTATGAGATGACTCGAGCTAGAGGAGTCAGTGGAGAGACTTGCCGACTACCTCCTTTCTTGACGATGTTTTGTTATAGCTGGCTGGCAGAGAGCAAAGCCTCTCCCGGTCTTGATTATTCACTGCTTGCTCGGGCCATGGTGAGGGTGCTTGCAAGAAGGCGCCGACTAGAGACCTGTTCCGCCCCTGTGCTCTCTCCAGTGTTGTCAAAGCCTAGGGATACGACCGGGCAGTAATCCACGTCTATCACGTCATTCCTTCGAGGGGAATGTGGCCGTGAGCTACAAGCCACGTGGGAGCAGATAGATCCAGGCCGTGGAGGTTGTTCGTTCACGTCTCTTTGAGATCATCGCGACGCCAGATACCCATGACAAGAATAGCTTCGATTCTCGCTGGATATCTTGATTGCCTGCTGTGCCGCTCAGTCAAATTATATCCACGTGACTCTGACCTTGGGTGTCACAGAGACAAGGTTCAACTATCACAACCTTTTGAGCCACTTCATTTCTCCCTCCCAAAGGCTGCACAACGATTTGCCCAAGGTGGTTTACCAGAATATCTTTCGATAGGTAGTCAGTGCAGTACATCTTGTTCATTGGGAGACGCCTGCTTTCTTTCCATGGGGCCTCCTCACAGGGACGACGAAGTGAAGGCTCCTCCACCATTGTAGCGTGAGTATGCCCATGCTGATTGCCCAAGCCTGTCCTGTTCTTCGTCACCGATTCCCCATCTCCCGGCTCAGCCATAATCGAGAAAAGTATCGGGAAGAACGCACCAAGATAGGCGAACTGCGTATCAAATAGAGAGAACCTGGGCCAACATCGACTGAGATAATTTTGTATGGAAAGCGTAAGGCCACGATCGGCTTCCATGTTGGCCCATGTTGACCTAGCCTCGCTCCCTACATGGCCTTTCATCGCCCTTCCAACGTGGCGAAAAGACATTCGATGCCTTGTGGCGCAAGATTTACGAAAAGACTGGAGCATACCGCGTTAGACTCTCTGGCTAGGCTCGTTCCTGTACGCATAGAGATTTAATTTCTGGGTCATGTGTGTCTCGGTAAAATCTATGGTCAGGATTGCCGCATCATCGCCATATACGAATCGCGAAGCACGCCATGTGTAGCAAAGCCAACTGATATGGAGGAGGCAATGAAGGTCCAGAAACGGCGTCTAGAGGCTACGCATTTCATTAAGTTCTACGTGAACCCGTCGAGACAACTCCAAACTTCACATGTCCAATCAGAAATTCTTTGAAGAGACGTATTCGAGAGTGCGTCTCCAAACATCCGGTTTTTTTAGAGAACAAGCCGCAAGGTGACCACATACTTTTGAGGTCTCTCGTAACCTTTAAAAGGCAACTTACGCAGGAAACAGGCCACAAGGCTTCTCCACTAGAACAAACTTGGCATTGGAACGTGAACTCTACGTGGATGAGAAGTCAACGCCCATGAAGCTCTTCACGTCTCAACGCCACGCTATAAATACCTTCAACCCTCGTGAACTTTTCAACATGTACCACCCACCCATGTCAGTTTGATGGAGTCATGCATGGCAACTCCAATTTCTAAGCCAGCAACACTAGAGAATCTGGGAGTCGTAATCTCTGCCTTTAGCGACGCATACTGAAATCCTGCTTGTCCAGGCCTTCAATGCGCTCACTACATCGAATCCCTCCTCTACCGCTTATACATTATTATTATCATTCTATAGAGGCATATACACTAGTGGACTTAGGCTTGAGTATCGGGGAGAGACGTTGAATACGCCATATTAGTTCACGTCTTCATGAGACAATGTTCAGTCCTTGCTTTACCCGACAGGACATTAAGTTTCCCCGCGATCAATATGAAGTCCAGCGTTATCCAGATCGAAGAGCTAGAGTGTCTGGCCGTGCTACGTGGCGAAGTCTGACATTAAACAAATCGAAACAACATCATTGACAAGGTCACGCAAAGTACATGTATATCTCAGTCGCGATTGAGTGGTCTTGCACAGTTCACTGTAATTACTGGCCTCGTTGATATATACCACGCCGGCCCCTAGTCCCAGGCGGACTCCGCGCTTCTCAGCAAACGCGTTCTACTTAAAATAAGTATCCAAGAGGCAGACGAATTCCAAAAAGCAGAATACGCTCTGCGAGAAAAACCAGCGAACCGAATGCGTTCCTCCTTGCGCCATCGCTGCAACGACCAATGAGCGTTCCAAAAGCAAGTGTTCACATGACGAATCCCGCCCAAGAACTGTCGCCGTGATACGGTGTCTGCCACTCACGTATTCTTTTTCCTTTCTCACTAACGGGAGCTCCTCAAAGCCTTTCTCTCCTAGACGTCTTTGCCACGAATCTTGGAGTACAACACCGTATCGAAGAAGTTGTAGTTAGGGTCCAGCTCGCAGAATGGATGTTGCGAGAGTAGGACATCTGCTGTAGGCCGCTCTAGCGGGTTTCTATAGGAGGTTAGTCATGGTTCGGTAACTAGCTGGGATGAGCCTTACACAGTAAAACAGTCCAACATGAAGGCGATGGCCAACGGACTGATTGTCTCCCGAACCTCATCGGGGATAGGCGGTGTCTCTCCATTGGCGATCTTGTAGATGGCTCCCACAGCCTCCTCTTTGGACCAGGGTCGTCGGCCAGCGAACATCTCCAGGACAACGCAACCCAAACTCCAGATGTCAACCTTGGCACTGTAGCCCTTGCCCTCAGAGCGGATCACCTCTGGTGCCATCCAGAAGACGGAGCCCTGCATCGAGTTGGACTTGTCGTTACCGTAAATGTTGTCCGTCTTCTTTGAGATACCGAAATCTGAAATCTTGCAAGTACCATCGAGATCTAGTAAGATGTTGTCGGCCTTCAGGTCGCGATGCAAAATACCTTCCCTGTGAAGGTATGCAAGACCAGAAAGCATCTGCCGGGTGAGGGATGAGACGACAGACTCCTCAAACTTGCCGTGCTTGCGCAAGCAAGATCCAATACTGCCACCAGAAATATACTCGAGGAAGATACTGATGGAGGTCTCCTTACGCTCGCATCCAAGGTATTGCACAATGTTTACGTGGTCGAGATGCTGCATGGTCTCGATCTCCTGGTCGAGAGCTGCCACCAGCTCACGCATCTTGGCCTTGTCGCCCTGCGCAGCTTTAGGGTTGACCTCGACTTCCTTGACAGCCAAGAACTCTCCGGTCGTGGCATTCATACCGAGATAGACACGACCATATGTACCCTTGCCGATAAGTTGACCCTTGAACCACCGGAACGTGGTCTGGCGCTTGGGAATAGTGTCCTGGGGAATCTGTGGCATGACCATACTGCCTCGCTGATCAGGCCGAATTTGCACAATGTTGGCGTTGAACATCTTTGTGCTCTTTCTCCTCATAAGTACTGATGTATTCTGGGTAGCCTGACCAGGTTGTGTGGTTGTCGTCGTGGTGAACCGCTTGTTAGCTTCATGAGCACCGCGGGCAACCTCACGAATGGACTTCATCCGGCCCAGACCGCCCGAGCGTCGAACACTCCTTTGTGCAACCGAAGCGACCGACGCAGGACGCTCAAGGGCCTTGAGAGTAGACTCATCCGATCCGAGTGTATCGTTGTCATTATAGAACGACCGGTTGTTGGAAATGGCCGCACGAAGACTCGGTGGCGACTGAGGTGGCGCGGGACGTTTGGAAGCTTCCTTCTCCTCTCCCTCGGCAATTGGGGAGGGAGGGTTGGCCTCTGCCTCGCCTTCTTCCAGTACGGGCATATCAAGATCCAAATTAGGGAAGAAGTCGTCGAGGTTGTTGATAAGGGCGTCAGTTGTTGGACGGTTGGCCCAGACATCCTTCTCGACAAAAGACTTCCTCCTGCCCAATTTGCTATCTTCCGACTCCGACTGGGGCGTATTTGGAGTTCTGCGTGAACTCTTACCGCTCCTTGCACTCATAAGAGCGTCATCCTCCTCGCCTTCGGGAGTTCTGTTGCTGGCACTGCCTAGAGACTTGGGGGATGTGAATGACACCGAAAGCTGCTTTCCTTTAGATCTAGACGTATTCACCGTCAAGTTTGGCCGCTTATCGGTCGATTCGTCAGGCGAATCGTCGCCGTCAAAGATGCGAGTGATCTTTGTCGGCTTGGGCTTGGCAGCAGCGATGGGAATTGCGAACAGGCCATCATCCGAGTCATCTCCTGAATCATTACCTCGCTCTGGAGCGGGTGGCGGGGCAGGTTTCTCGAAGCTGACCTCAGATTCAAGGAAATCAAAGTCCGGCCCGTGAGACTTGCGACGGTGAGGTTGGGGTGGTGCACTCGGAGGGAAGTGTGGGGGGTTCATGGAGCTGGGGCTGATCTCTCGCGACGCAACTCTGTGTACTGTTTGGTTTGTTTTAGCTGCCATTCCTTTCTTAGATTGCCGCCGCGGAATCGGAGTACCCTCGGGAGAGTAGTCCGGCACAAAGAAGGGCATGTTCCCGCGACTCCAGGTCAAAGTGCCGGGCGAGCCAGACAACGCTGATTGAGGGCTGTCTCGGCCCGAAAACGACTTTGCAAAGTCAACAGATGAAATGGCTCCCTTACCTCGGTCTGAGTATTCGTTGCCTAAAGCTGGTTGCGATGACACTCGGTTGGGCGACTTGGATCTTCGGTTGGCGTTAACACCAACTGCCCCAAGGCCTCGGCCCATGCCAACGAGTGCTGCACCAATTCCGGCGCCAGGCTGGCTCGAAGTCTTCTTCTTACGGTCTCCGTTCTGGCCGGGGAGCTCCATGTCCTCAAACAGAGTCGAGGGCCGTCGCGGCGTAGGAGCCCCATCAGCAGACGACCGCATTGCGTGCCCCGTCTTCCGACTCAATGAGTTGGCTTTGAGTAAGGTGGCTGACGGGTCACTCGGCGGCGCCGGAGGCTTCCGTACGGGGAACAGTACTTCCGGCTTCTTGTCCTCGTACGGCGATTGACGTGGCTGATCGAAGTCGACGGTTCTGCCGTGAATGCCATAGGGCGTAGTAGCACTCTCTGGCGTGTTGCCGGAACCAGCAGCTTTACGCCTCTTTTCGAGGTACTCGCGCTGCTTACGCTCCATTTCGGCACGATACTCGCTTGCCTCTTGGGCAAGCATCTTGTCATCCACCCTTTCGCCGGCCATGCTGTTTTGCCTCGACGTCGGGGGAGAGGAGCTGGATCTTGTCCGCGACAGCCCGCTCAGTCGATTGTATGCCTCCTCGTCAAGGGATGTATGCGTCGGGTTGCCATTAGCGTGGCTAGAGCCTTGAGACGCATGTCCGCCTTGACGAATAAAAAACTTGAGGGTCCCTGTTGCGTCAGCCCTATGCTTGCGATTATTGAGGAGTTTCTGGTCGTCCAGGGGGTTCTCATGATTGGATTTGCCAAGCTCGGTGAGGTAAATTTGAGACGTCGTGGCATCCATCAGACCCCAATTGCTGCATATAATGAGGCGAAGGTCCATGGCCGACTCGGCCTCAGTGATGTCGCACATGCGATAGTTATATCCATCCATGGTGGCCAGTGCGAACACTCTGTTAGGGCCAGGACGTCTAGACTTGGCGGAATCCTTCTCGTGAACATCAAAGCTGGATCCAGGTCGGATGTCCAAAGACGTTTCGCTATTGTTTCCAAAGCGAGAGCCAAAAGAATGAGGCTTGAAGCTGAGTGCTGGAGACGTTGGCGATTCCATGTCGTCAGGGCTTGGAAAGCCATCTTCTTTCTTTTGCTTGTTCTTCCTCGACAAGAAGCTGAGACTGAGGAAACTCTTAGAATCCTTAGCAGAGGACGGAGGCTCAGTGCCGGCTGACTTGTCGCCGGTAGAATCCTGCGGCGACGGACGCCCTCCGTCTTGCCCGAGCCGCCGAGGCTCGCCGTTTCGAGTGGCTTGAATGATGTCTGCGATGTTCATTCCACTACGCAGCATTTGGGTAGCTTCAGGTGGGATACCTGACCCGTAAATAGCGGCATTGGAAGACACAGAATCTGTACTATTCCTCGACCTGTGTCCAAACTTGGTTGAATGAGGAGAAGCTGACAGGTTGCCAGCGGATGAGGGGAACAGCGAAGCACTTTGAGGATGTGGGCTGCCGTTTGGGCTGTCGGTCCGTACGGGGGGTGGACGGAATGTGCCCTCGCCGGACTCGCTGGCATTTGGACTTTGCCGTCGGATTCCGTCCACATCAATTTGCTTCATGATGTTCCTGTGACTTGAATCTGAACTCATGGTGCTGTTCAGAGTCGGCATGGTCGTCGATCTCGTTTGTGAAAATCGACGGCCGCCAAAACCAGGCCCCGGCGCTTTGATAGGCGTCTGCCGTCCATCAGTCTTTGGGTGTTCACCCACACGGGTAATCATACTCACGTTGGGAGACTCTGCCATATCCGTCCCAGCGCTAGGTAAGTTATTGCCGTGGTTAATCGACTCTTTCCGGCCATGCGACGAGACTTTGGAGGGGTCAGCCGGCCGGCCGGTCACGATGCTTCTTATGAGACGTCGCATTCTTTTGCCTTCTTCTCGCTCCCGCGGCTGATCCCAGCCCGTCCCGCTGTTTGTGCACTCGACGGCCAATCTTGGGTACACTTGCTGGTGCATCATGCCAAAGTTCCCCCGACCGCCGTGCATGCTGCCGAGCTCAAGAAAGTGAGCACCTTGTAGATTAAGTCCCTTGAAAGTCTCCTGCCAGTCCTTGGAGAACTGATTTGTAGCCAACCACAACAGCACCTTATCCAACGGCCATTGCGCCGCCAGCTCTGGGTGGATGCTTGACGTGATCGTCGTAGCGTTCGAGGTTGTTGACATCCCACGGCTGTGCATGGCTTGAGCGTACAATCTGTCTCTCCCTCCTGACACATCGTCTTGCGGCGTGGTCATTGCCGTGTCGCCGCTGGTCTGACTATTGGTAGGCCATGAGCTCTGGGAGGTTGCCGAGAATGTCGCATTCTCGTCAAAGCCGCCCAGACCAGGTATTCCAACCCCTTCGCCGTACGTGTCGCCTTGTGGTATGTAGGTCGCCGACATGACATGTTCGTTCGGTGGAGGTGGAGGCGGTATCGATAGTGTCGTTCCCGTCGCAACCTGCGCGTGTAACTTTGGGTTGTAGGCCTGGTGTTGTCCCGGCGGGGGAGGTGGCATATTGAAGCCGCCACGGCCATCGTACATGCGCCCAAAGGCGCCGTGCCATGGTGCCTGGCCAGCCATTGCGCTTCCAGGCGGTGGTCCTGGAGGCGGTGGGAGCATCATCCCGCTGCCTCCTGTTGCGCCAGGAGCAGAAGGGAATCTCGGAGGCGGAGGAGGTATCGACATCATGTTGCTCATCTGGCCTTGCACGGGCGGCGACATGGGCGGCGGTGGAGGAGGGACCTGGAAGGGTCTCGAAGGATCGGCCGACGAGGCATGTCGTTGGGTGTTTTGATACATTGCCGACGGGGGATGCGGGCCAGCTCTCGTAGCTGGCCTCGCGGGATCGAGCCCGAGTAGAGGAGTGGTCGGAACGGAGCTCGCAGTCGAGGCCCTCGGGCGAAGACCGCCGGTGGAGAGAAAGTTGGAGTTCCTCGGCTGAGGATACGGCGAGAGAGCGCCGTTACCGTTGAAGTTTGGAGACAGGATCTTTGGTGTTGTCGAGGTGGACGAGGTATGGGTGGGCAGATCGTTGACGTTAAAGACGAAGCCGTCGAGATTGTGTATTTCGTCTCTGGATCGAGGCACAGATGGGAATGGGCTCGAATTTCGGTCGTGGGTATCAGATCTGGTCGCAGAGCGTTGGCGCGCGCTGGTGCTCATGGTATGCCAGGTATGGATGGTATGGGTACGCGGCACATGGCAGGGGTGGTGGTGTGGGCTGGTGGGCGCGAGCGGGCCTTCAGACCGTAGTCATGTTGCGGTAAGGCGGCGACCGTCGTTGTATTGGCAGCAGGGCGTTGTGCCTACTATCGTAGATCGTGTTGGTCGTCTTGGCGAGCAGCTGCTTGGGGGTTGACTCTCGGGCGCGCTAGGTATTTCTGGAGGAATTCGTCAGGTTGGAGGAATGTTGAAAAGAAGAAGACGACGACCAAATTGGGGACTTTGAAGAGGGGTGGGTGGTATGTGAATGTAAGGTAGCAGCCGTTCAATGTCTTTCAGCTTACGGATGTGGATAGGCAGGCTGGCAGGGTACCGGTATGTTGTGCAAAGGCAGGCAGATAGAGACAGAACAACAGACAACCCCACAGAGAGAGGACGGCCGAGTACCTCGAGTAGTACCGTGAGTAGGCAGGTACTTGATAGCGCGCTTAGAGAAATGGAAGGACCAGGGAGCTGCCGTGTATGTGTGTGAACACTGGAGGCTGGAGGCTGGGCCGCGACGAGGTGCGTCTACTCTTTGGGCTAGTGTTGGCAGGGTATCTGTTGACTGTAGCGAGTGGCGGCAGAGGATTCGTAGATGGGATGAGACTGGTCGAAACTGGCGTGGGAAGTGGACGTTGGCTTCGGCTCTGGCGTGCGTTATCCCACGCAGCAGTTTTGGCGGGGGCGGATGTGCCGTGCAGATCTCCGGGCCAATGAAGGCACTGTGAGTGTGTGACGAGGGGGTATTCGTACAGCCTACGGCAACGACCTTTGCGCAGGTCGCAGGATCGAAGAGTGCGACTTGCGAAATCCTGGGTGGTAAAGAATCATGTGTGGGCTTCGGTGCTTTGTAGAGATGTGAGGACTCGATGAGGGTCAGCAAGGTGTTTGGGGTATATCGTATGAGTGTTCGTGGTGTTTTGTTCAAGTCCAAGAAGTTGCGTCTTGTTCTCGGGGCGCAGTGTAACTAACCACCTAAAGGAAGTTGGGAAGTACCCCGCAGACCATTGGTCAAGATGGAAGGGACCTACCTACTTGACTGATTCCTTCCTCAAGCACACGACATCATAAAGGAACGTCCTCATCGTAACTTCATCGGCTTACTCAGCTGGAAGAGATGGGATTCATTCTTTCTCCAGTCATCTGTAGTAAGTACCGCTGTACACCCACCTACACCAGGATGCTCTTCTTCAAGTCAGCTAAACCCAATCCAGCCTCATCGCAAGACTCAAGAGTAAGACACACCCACTCTGCGAGAAAGCAGCTAGACCCAGATCAATGAATCCACCCGCGACCCGACGCAGGGCCCCGTCTGTTTCATTTGGGCCTTCCAGGTTTATATGGGGCCGGGTAGCGGGTGCCCACCTTATTAACCTGCCGCTCTGACACGAACAACTCATTTCAACTTGGCCCCATTTGGGCCTTTTGCACGAGGTTTTCCAAATTGAACGAGATATCAACAAATTCAACTCTCGGTTGCCATTATCGATGGAGATGAAGAGTCATTCGCAGGTCATAACGTAAGGGGCCTGCTGTTCAGGTGCACAACTAATAGATGCAGCATACGGAGTACATAAGTACTTGTCCTTTTCCCACAAGCGACTAAGTACAATCTGCCCAAGTATCAACGGTATGAAGACTGTACTGGATGCACTCGAGACACCAGCAGGGCCAAGTTTACAGCACTTAAAGCAGCAAGACACACAAGCGCTCCTTCAACCTCCCCGCCGCCAGACCGACGAACCGGTGAGCCGCGATTCTCGCAAAATGCAGCCAACCGCCCGCATCGCTCTCGACGTCCCATTCGCCAGAATCCGACAAGCGCCAGCTTCAACGTCCCCGGCTCCCCCTCGTCCTCCCACCTCCGGCTTACCAGCGTCTGCTGTCCTTTTTCGTCTCTGTGAGAACAAATTCAACGCCCGAAGTAGGTAATACAAGTTTCAACCGTGCAAAGTACCCGTATCGCAATGCGGTTCACCCCAGATCGGCCGCCGGCCTAAATCCCCGGCCCCGGTCCCGCAGGACCTATTCACCTTGAGCATTCTCAGCCTCAAGTCCTTAAACCATGATCTTCAATCAAACTTCACTTTCAAAAAGAGCCTACTCCGTACTAGAAATATCTGTGTCTCGACCAAAATAACTTCTCATATACTGTACTTGACCTCCCACGGAATCACTCAGCAGAGCTCATCCCTCCCTCCCAAGGCCCAAACAGCCCCGTATTGCATATTCACCACATATAGCAAACACACTTATAATAATTACTATTACCACCCCTTCCCGGCAACAGTTCGTTCATCGCCGGCCAAACGGCCCAGCTGGCCGACGTCATCCCCCACCACTGAAACCAATATCCACAACTACCCAATTCATCGACGATGAACATTTGTGATGCGATCAGGACAGTCTACCTCCACGATGAGACAACACCAGTCACCACCACCACCGCCCACAACCATCTCAACACCAGTCATTCCGTTACTGTCCACAAGTTTCCTCAAATACTCACCCGGAGCTTCGCTTATAAAGTCCCAAGGAAAGAGCTTCAGAACTCAGGCCACCCAGCCAGCCCTACAGCACTTCATCGCTGCGTACAACTTCCTCTCTCCTCTCTCCCTTCACATTATAATGGAACTGTGTTCAGTCTACAAGCACATACGACCACACCCATCAGAAAATTCGGGATCCCGTCCGCTCTCCCATAGACAAGCTGATGAGGGCCAGATCAGTAGTTGAGTCGCTGACGATCAGCGAATACCTGGTGTTGTATGTTTTTTTGACATTTTCAAGCCGGCCAGGTAAATATGTAGCTACTCATCTCTCTCTCTCTCTCTCTCTCTCTCTCTCTCAGAGGTTAGAGACCAAGCTGTTTTCTTCCCCTTCCCCCCCCTGGCCTGGTGTGCCATGTTACAGCCCGTGCCGCCGGGAGCCGGGAGTGCATGAACCACCCACCCCCTGAGCAGCCGACACAAACGCACGTCAACGCTGCATCAGTGAAGCATGAGACAAGTTTCCCAGTGGACCATCAAGAGCGAGGAAAGTTTAAATGCGAGAAGCTGCCGCTTCACTGTTTCATACGAATAACCATTATAATGGGGGAATGACTACTACTACTACTACTACTACCAAGATTAGGTCGGTAAGGTAGCCAAGTCAGCTAAGCGCAAAAGTTAGCTCATAAACGACATGCGTGTCATCAAAGACTAATGTAGTCTTACTAAGGTGGTGTTGAAACATCGGACGGATTCTGCACGGCCTCTCGGCTTGTCTTGCCTCGCTTGCTAGATCTGGATAATCCTCTGATATCGGAATAGTGAGGCCAAGGTCCGTTCAACATCATATCAACGTGTCACAAGCAACGACGAAGTGTTATTGCATCTCAAAAAAGGTAATGCTCTTCATTAACTCCCTGATAGCCAGAGGTGTGCCTCGGAAGCCCCAAGAAACACCTCCTCCTCCTCATTGCTCTAAACATAAGAAAAATGATACTTGCAATGAATACTTCTTGACCATCACATCATAGGCGGGCCTCGTGGGGGACCCTATTCGTGCCTCTGGATAATATTCGCCTTACAACTCGTTCCATCCCATCCCAGCTGTAGCCCACTCTTTACATGACGCTGCACCTAGCGTAATTTTGCTGGCACTGCTCCAGATATCCCATATCCTCCTCGGACCCTTCGACAATGTTATGCTGCCTCACCAACCCCGTGACCCGAAGCGTCTGCTCCCCGTCCGCGTGCCACCACTTGAGCTTCTGCACCAGGGGGCCCTCGTCGTCGTCCATGCTAATCGCCCACTTGCCCGACGACACCTCGACCGTGCAGTTATCCTGCGGGTAGTGGAACTCGGGCAAGAAGACCACCGTCGGTGCCTCCTCGGACGGCGGCGCCGCGGCCTTGAGCTTGAGCGTGAACGTGCAGCTGCGCAGGTCGAAGCCGTACTCTAGCACGTCGCCCGCCACGACGACGGGGGACGGCCGCACAAATGCCTCGGCGGCGCGGAGCCCGGGTGCGTTGGTCAGCTCTGGGTCCTTGGACGGGGCGGATGATATCGACGGGTTCGTGATTGTGCTCTGTAGGTTTTCCGGCGTGACGGTCGACTCATCGGGGACGTCTCTGCTCATGGAGTTGCGCTTGAGGTCTGAGGATGGGTTGGGTGACGGGCTGCGGGGGAGAGGCGACAAGGGTAGTGTCTTGTCGTCCAGTGAAAAGACTGACAGATCCTCGCCGTTCCAAAGATCGCCGTGCTCGTGTGTGTTCTTCGATTCATGTTAGTTAGGGTGACATCGCGTGTGAAAGATGGCCAGCTTACCTTTGCAACGTAAACCCACAGGCAGTGGCCCTCCATACCCGAGCCTTCGGCACCAAAGTAGTTGGCATCCAAGGCAGCTGACTGATCCGAATAATCTCCGGTCTTATACGCCTTCTTGTTACCCATATCGTATGGGATGCCGAACTCTGTCATAACGCATGGGTGGTTGCCCATCCTGTCCAAGCCTTCCTGCCGCAAGGACGCAAGCTGGTCCTTGAAGCAATTCCTGATAGCAGTCTCGCCGACCTTGACAGAAAGCGCCTCGTGCCAGTATCGCCCAC